CAACCACCCTCAATTTGTGAGGATTGAAACTGGGCCCCAATGATCAGTACTGCCTAGTAGAGGGCCTGCTGGGCTTGGATATTTATGTAGGCATAGCTAGCATCAAGGTGCTGGCCCCCTAGGGGCTCATGGCACACCCTGGGCCTACTGTTGCCCAGATATGGAAAATGGCCCAATCAGGCCAGTATTGTCCTGACGCTGGATACAGCAGCTTGGTACTGAGCAGAGGAGCATTTTGAATATGCATGCATACTGAGAACATGCTCTTGTACTGATTGGCTTAGCTAGGGCCTGCTGCAGGTCAAATGCCCAAATTCCCGGGATCATGCCAGTACTGTAGAAGTTCATTTCAATGTTGAAGAGAGGGTGGAATTCACCTTGAGAGTTTCTATCACACTACTAATATAAAATCCACTGCACCTGAATAAAATAGATAGAGTGGGATCTTCACATTATTGGGGTTCGGAAAATCTCTTAATGGCTCAATGTAATGGAATAGCATATTGCTTTGGGTTCCTGAAGCAAGAATATCTGCATTACAAGAGTGACTTTCAGTTCCACCCATTACTGAGTTTCTTCCCCTGAAATTGTCATATTTGACTTGTGGCAGGCACTAGAAGAACTGATACCCCATTCCACAATTCTACAGAGCTTTTCATACTATATGATGTATCTCCAACTCATGTAATGCTTTAATACCTATCATACTGGCTATACGACCCTAATTGGGCAAATTTCTACATTTGGTCTGCAGAAGGTACTGGGTGCACTGATGACTGGAGAAGTCTTCCAGGGAGTTTTAGAATATTCTTAGAGGCCTTCCATGTCATTTCTCACTCCAAGACACATCCCATGGGCTATACCAACCCTATCAGGCAAATTTCCATATTTGACCTGCAGGAGGTGCAGCATGCATCAATGACCTTGAACAGGACTCCGGGCAGTTCCTGGTACCATAGGATGTATCCCCAACTGATTTTATGCCCTAATATCCATTATATGGGCCATGATACCCTGATCAGGCCAATTTTAATATCAGGCCTGCGGAAGGCACTGAGAGCACTGATGACCCAGTCCAGTGTTCCACAGAGTTTCTAATACTATAGGATTTACCTATGGTGCACGTGCCCTTGTCACTGCCACTTTGTGACAGGACCGGAATCTGGTCAGAAAATTTGCAAAAATAAAATGGTCGGGAAAGCATCAGAAATGGTTCAGATTGAGTGCAGATCAAGTGGAAAGACACATTTTATGCATAGAAGCCTGAAAGAGGTCATATTTGTCAGCAAAAGTGGTGACTTTGGCGTGACTTCTAGTCACATTTCGTGACATAACGTGACAGAACCGGAATCGGGGTGTCAATCAAAACATCAACTCCCTCAGTTTTGAAGCAATTAATTATCCCTCTTACAGATTTGTTCTACACCTCAAACTGAGTGTTTCTGTAAGACAGATAAGAAAACAGACGCTTCTGTGACACACTGTGACCCTTGTACAAAAGTGGTAGTGTTAAGGGCACATGCACCATAGGCAGTACTGATCATTGGGGCCCAGTTTCAATCCTCACAAATTGAGGGTGGTTGCTGCCAAAGCATGTGGTATTTGACCCTACTCGGGTACCAAAAATGACCCAGTTGACCACCCTGTTAGGGTCTCATACCAGTCTGCCTATAGTGACCGTGGTTTGGTTCGGAGTTTGGGGGAGACCAAAAAAGCCAAACTTGGTTTGAACCAGTTCAAACCATCAAAATTATTCAAGGCATTTTTGTAGCTGAACAGGCTTGTAGAACCTACTGTATTTCCATCCTTCAAAAGTTCAAATTCTATACAACTGAACTTGTTTGAGGTGTGTCTCAATAAATTTAGGGATGGATCAAGGATTCTGTCAAATGTAAGGCCAAGTGTTGCTGATGTAATCATCTCAATGTCAAAGTTTTTGGACAACTATTCCCTGACAAATTGTCCAAAAAGATTTCAAAACCTGTCAAGATCTGCCTGTTTACATCTGTAGACTTATTACACATGATTTCCTTGCATTTGAGTCCTACTGGACTGAACAATGCCATATTCTCATGAAAAGTTGGTTCAGCAGTTTGAACCGGTTTGAACCGCTGAACCAAACCGTCTGAACCTGAACCATGGTTCAGGTTTGAGGTTTGGAAAATTGGCTGAACCAAACCGAACTGTGAAACCACTAGACATATGCTCCAGAAGGTTCTACTACAACCCATGACTAGCATTCTACATAGTACTTAGTCTCATGACTCATTTGATGTAGATACAAGTCAGAATGGACTTGGTATAAATACAGTTGCTATTGTGTTGAATATCCCAGTCTTAGAAATCACTTTCCTTATTGACTTTGTTATTGGGTTGATGGTCACAACTTGAAGATGAAGATTGGTCCTCATCTGAAGACACGCATGTTCCTTCTGATGTGTCTGGGAAAGGCCCAGATCATCATTGGTCTTGATTGGCATCAAAACATCATATGGACAATGGGGTGGGCCCAATCAACCAGGATCTGTCTGATCATTCAACTTTCATTACTATAAAAAGCAACCGATCTTAGATAGCATAGCTACTATGCAGTTGTACAGGACTTTACTAAGCACCGTCGTAGACAGTATAAGTAGCACATTGTTTCTTTGTATTGGGGAGCTTTCCCCCGGACTGTGAATCATACCCATATCAGATTGCTTTGTACAATTTGCATGTCACGTGATTCCTCCCTAAGAAGTTCTATCATCCCTGCTCAGTTGCGACGAGTTGCTCCCTGAGCACTCGTAGCTACTGTGATTTGAGTTTGAGTTGAGACATCAGAAAGTCGGATTCACCCCTTCTGGTTTTGCGGTGGCACTTTGTGTCGTTGCTCTGGGTTTTGTTGAGACTGTTCCACACCTCTAGCTTGGCAGTGCGTTGACTAGTTGTGCTTGGGTTGTCCTGGTCAGTTGGCAGTGCATCGACTTGAGAACTTTGGTTCCACACTTCTTGCTTGGCAGTGCATCAACAAGTTGTGCTCGGGTTTTGGACATTGGATATTGGCTGTTAGTTGGCAGTGCGTCAACACAGCATTTTGGGTTTTACTAGTTGGCAGTGCATCAACTCAGCATCTTGGTTGTTGACACGCTTGCGGCTGGTGTGAACGCTTAACCCCTAGAGGAAAGTGTACAGCGTTGTGGTGTGGGCGTAAGAGAGGAGGTGGACCGCTGCTTGGGTGGCAGCCGCAAGAGCTAGACAGGTGCGAGGGATCCTAACAAGGTCAGGCTCGCAAAGACACAATAAACGATGGAGGGCAAATGACAACAGCAGGGTCAAAAGGCAATGAGGGCGACGAAATACAATACGGAAGGGTGAAGCAAGAGGAAAAGAGGGCCAAATCAGATCCTAAATTGAGCACACAAGTGTGGGAGGTAAAGATTGCTTGCTTTGAACAGATACAGATATAGAGTACTTATAGTAGCGTATGGAATGAAAGGGAAAAGAGAAAATGATATACTACACCAATTGCCTTTCTAAACCTCCATGCAACTATGCTGAGCGCCCGCGTAGGCTTCAGACCAGAATCAACGAGTGGCCCGGGATGGTGGAGAGTGTGAGATGTCGGAGCCAGTTGTTCAAGAGCATGTGGCATGAAAGCGGAAGACAAGAGGTGATTTGATCACCACTGCCATGCATCAATGCCCGGTCCGTGTGCCCCGGATGATCGATCATGTTAGCAGAGCAGGTCGCTGCTTGTCATTGTATAGGTTGGCAGTGCATTGACTTGATATTTTGGGCTTTGCATCACCATCTGGAAGCCATTGCTACAAGGGATGTTAATCCTTTGTATTAAGTTCTGACTTGTGATATTGTTGGTTGTGGTTGGATTAGTGTTAGTTTTGGCTGTATAGGAGATATTGGTTGAGACACCATATATAAATCCTTGTTGTCGACTTTGTCTTCCACAACTATTGGATCCTGTGTCTATTGAGAGTTGTGATACTGGTGTTCTGCTCACCCTGAAGCCCTTGTATCTTTCACACACTGAGAAGCTGATTACAAGGAGTGTGAACGTGTTTATATTTGGGTTTACTTTCATAGTAGATTCACTTGTGAGCACGCCCTTGCCATTTCAACAATCTGTTGAGCACTGGGGAGAGCATCTAGCAGGTCACCTGTATGTAGGCTCAAAGTGTCACACTTTCAACTGAGCATCACACATCATGTCCAAATGATTGATTGATGATCCAACATATTCAGTGGGACCCAGGGACTGGCTTCACAGATGATTGTTAACTTGGCTTGTTGTGCACTACCACTCATCAGCTCTCGCAATATCCTCCTCATCCAAAAACCAAGAAAAATACTCTTCATGGTCATCTTCCTCTTCTGCAGGAACAACATAGGACTCAATGTTGTTCAGGAGTGCTCAACGGGCTTGATGGTGGTGGGGGTCTGTTAGGATGAATGAGCGCACAGAAAATGGGAGAAGCCAAGCAAGGCATTGACATGCTTGCTCACATGTATACGCAAATCAAAGCCGCAGATGGGGGTTGCAGACAAGTCTCGGACAAGCCGGTCTGCGATTGACAGGTGATGGTACATGATCAATAGTGTCTGCATTCAGCAGCGCAACTCTTTTTCCTTCAACCACATTGATTCACGGCTGCGGACAACACCACCGCACAGTTTCTGACGACTTGGTGCATGCTGCTCTATGTGCCAGACTCAGCTGAGCTTGCTTAGACAACGCCAAGGTCGATTTTTATGGACTTTACCTTTGCTTCCACAAAAACCATCTGGGACTGTCCTATATCATCCCCTTTCCATACAACGCTGAGCTTTCTCCATTTGATTTCCCACATGTTTCTACATTACTTAGACACCAATATATTTATCTCTACGCTATATAAACCTGTATGTCTGTACTTGCAATAATACAGATTTTGGACCACTTTTAGATTCAAGCCTTTGACATGCTTTGCTTTAGCCTTGTACCTTGCCTTTGACCACCGCCATTACCCCTGACACTCAGAAAGCTTGTCCCCTGGACAACCAACTCCCTCTGCTGCCCGACACGTTCCGGTCCAGTTGAAAACCTTGCATATTTTTATCCTGCTGTGATTGTGTAGCAGCTGACCTATATTCTGTGTTAGCTGGCACATGAATGCTGGCAGGAGTTGCCAGCATGCACCCATGCCTCCCAGATATTCATCTATGGCATTTAAATCCTGGAGCCCAGGCAATAGTTCCATCTTATTGTTCTTGTAGTTGTGCTCAGCCATAACCAATGTATATCTCCATCTGCTGTCAAATCCCTTGTTGATGGTGTGCATCTGATCAAGTTTCAAGAATCCACTGAGCAGCTGGAGGTAGATATCCCAGCAGTTCTCTTGTGTGACCAATGGCTGCCCCATCTCAACATACAGCTCAGTTGTAACCTCATCAAATTCTTGCGGGAAGTGCTCAAAGATGGGATGATCTTGCAGTGCGTACAGATTATAGACAGTTCAACGTTTTCTGTGCTGGTTCAAACCTAATTTCAGGTCAGGGTGCCTGATCTAGCATTGCTATGAGCTCACCTTGAAATCCAGTGCAGCAGATTCCTCTGGGTATGCCAACATGTGCACTGAGATTCCGTTAGGTAGAATCCTATTGTGGTCAACACATTTTGTGGTGCTGTTAATCCGATGCTGATAGGCATCAAGCTTGCTCTGCAACCAGGGTGGAAGGACCCATCAGGGGACTGGCCTAACAAAATGTGAGCATTCCAATCTATCCAGATACTGTGCCATATGCTCCCAGCAGGATCCTGGGACCATAATAGCCACCCTCAATGCCCACATCCAGTGGATTCTTGTACCTGGGAGTCCAACATCAATAAAGTTAACTCCAAAATCTTGGGCATTGCATTTGAGGAGGACACAAAAATTTGATACATTTATCCATGAACTACCTGGTCTCTTTCACAACAACGACTGCACAATTCTTGGTAGACAAGTCCGAGAATCATTGCAACACATGACAGTACACCATATGGTGTCCAAATCTCTTTGGGGTCCCACCGAATATGTCCAACCATCAATCAATCATTCAGATATGATGTCTGATGCTCAGTTAGAAGCACAATGCTCCAAGCCTCCATATGGGTGACCTGCTAGATGCTCTCCCCAGTGTTCAACAGACTATCACACTTGGGTTCAGTTTGGTCTGGTTCTGGTTTGAACCGATTTCCAAACTGAACCTTGAGAGCACTACACTGGGATTGGAAAGATCTGTTTTTCTGATGCAAGGTAGACATCTTTGGATTTGCAATTCCCTCCAAGAAGTAATTGACATTTATTTAATATAGGATTGTTATTCAAATTGTTAAAAACTAGTAAGTCTTGCCAGCTCCTGAATAGGGTCTCCAAAATTCCTCTCTTTCCTCCACAATGCTGCAATAGTGATGGCATTGTTTTCAAGGTTTTTGCCTCTTACTCCTTGAATGTCACTGAATGCCTACTGAAACTCAGCCATTGCATCTTGTGTTGGAATATCACAACCTGACTGTATGTGTACACTTGTTTGTGTATAAATTCGAGAGTTTTGTTCCCTGTCTCTGACCATCATCTGGGTGCGACGCTGGTGCGACGTCAACATCTTGGGCTGTTCCTGTAATCTTGGGTGCTTCAGGGCAAAGGAACGGACCCAGTTGTGCACCGGTCCAAATCTGGATCAATAGGTTAGCTGTGTACCTTTGTCCCATGAAAAAGAAAAACCTGGAAAAGCTCAATCCCAACAGGATATGAACCTGTCGAGAACATTGCTGCATTGAACCTGCTCCAATTGGCCAAAATATAAGTGGAACTCCCTGGCTTAGCCCTTCAGTCAATTAACTACAAATCAGATGTTGAGATGGTATCATCCCATAGGTGAGCTGGACTGACTTATAGCCACCATGTGTCAAAAACCATCCAACTGTGCCGCTCTTCAGGATGGCTTTCTGATTGACCCAGTGAGCACACACAATGCCTCTGCCACTAGCATGCACACAATCAATAGTCTCTGCTGACAAGGAGGCCATTGCTCCAGCTAGGACAAATATGAATGGCACAACAGTTTTGAGATTGAGCAGCACGTCAATCATGACCTTGACCAGATGGGGTGTCTCCACTGGGAAGAATAATGAACTGAGTGAGTTTGAGTTCACGGGTCCAAAGGAGGAACTCCTGCAACGCACCCAAATGAGATGTACAGCACAGATTTTGGACCAAATTGCTGGCGTGACTTCTTCAAGAATGTCGTAACTGTCAGGGGAACCCCCGTTTCGGACCGCTCTGCCTTCGATCAGGCATGTGATTGCGCTCGCGTGACCTGTCAGCTGTCACGCGCCGCGGCCCGGACTGCCGCGCCGAGCGCTTCTCCTTGATGGGCACATGGCCAGGTGCCCCATTGTTCCTATTGTCCCCGCTCCCATTGTTCTGTCATGGCCGTTGTACTTATTGTCCCTATTGTTCTTTGTTTGTCGCTGCGTGCTCCATTGTTCTTGTATCATATAAATAGTGGCGCCTGGCAAGGAGAATGCCCAACACGGTTTCTCTTTGGATTCTCCCTTGCCAGGTATGCCGGTCTTGTACCTAGCTACCACTATTAATCACCTTTGGATTCTCCCTTGCCAGAACTCTGAGATCGGGTCTCGAGGTTGCCCTTACAGCAGAAACCGTGTTCCTAGGGATAACCGGACAAGATTGCGAGGTTCGATGCTGACGCCAGTGGAGAAGAGTCGACGAGCGACCAAGACCACCACTCCCTCACCTCCTATCTTGCCCCCTCCTCCCCTCCACGAGCAGACCCGATGAGCATGGATGACAACGAACAGCAGCGGCTGTCTGCTCTGGAGACCAGCATTGACACGCCTACGGAGCGTATGAGCGCGCAGCCGTACGGGGAGAGACACGGGACTAGTCGGTGGTCGAGGGGAGTGAGCTGCGGCTCTGGCTCGCGCAGTATTTGTGTGTGGGATTCTGATCCTAAACAAGGTCAGGCTCGAGGAAATGAGCTCGACTGAAACGAGCAGGGGCCGTGGTGAGCAAAAAGGGGGGGACGGAGGACAAGTCTAGGACGGTAGGACAACGATGGGGGCGAGCGATGGGACGACGAGACGATAGAACGACGAGGGGAACCAATATGTAAGACTGTAGCACAAAATGGGAGTTTTGGGGGCGATGTTAGGGCAATAATGCAGAAGCGGGCGCCGAGAAAGCGAGATAGAAAGCACTGGGAAGTCGCTTTAGACTCTAGAGAGTGGGTGAAGAAGATTTCTTGGTCTTTCTTGTACTGTACTACAGGTTTTTTATACTAAGTGTGAATTAAATCCGAGGAGATAAATAAATTGAACCTCCTGTTGATATGGTGACCATTGAGCTCTGTGTTAATTTACTACTTAGTCAGCGCTGAATTTCGCCGAAATGAAGGTGTTAGAGCCACAAAGAGGGAATGAACTCCGAAATTTGATTTCGGCCCGACACTTGTCATCACGTGCCAGATCAATTGTGGCTGCTTTGTCAGCTCAAGCAGCTTGCTACGTCATACCATGTGACATGTGATCAATTGATTGCGGGGCCAGGGTGTATCCACGCTCGTCATCTCCCTCCAACTGAAAATCTGACTGTCCCCAGTCAGTCGTCGAATCGAAATCAGGCTGAAATGAGGGGGATTATTGGATTTTTGGGTCGATCAAACCAGGTGCGTTGTGCGGACTGTGCTATCAGCAATTGGGCTGCTAGAGCTCTGCTTCAGCGGTGCCAAAATCGCTCTGAGGCCCTGATTCTCTGTCGATCTCTTCTGGGTCCGCCAGGAGCGATTCCTCGAGCTTCCGCAAACGTTCCGTCGAAATGTCGAGCAGATCTTCGAGTGGGGGCAGGGGAATAGCGCGGCGCGCAAAATAAGGTATGACGCGAAATGCAGCAATAGGCCGGTGGAAAACTGAGCCGTCGAGCTCACAGACGATGTAAGCACCTCCCCAATTCCTTGAGACAACTATCAGCGGTCCCAGGTAGCGCTTGCGCATTTTCCTGCTCAGGGATTTCTCGATCGCCGTATTTCGCATCAAGACCAGGTCACCGCGCTGAAAATCGTAGTCGCGGATCGTGTGCGCGTGCTCTTGCTCAAAACGGATCGCTGCTTGCACGCGGGCCTCGAGGACGGCGGAATGGAGGAACGACATCTGCTCCCGGCGCTTCTGCAGGGCAATGGCACGGTGTGAGATGAGCTCTGTGGACGAAAGCACGGATGCGGGGGCCGGGAGGAGGTAGGTTGCTTCGGAGATGTCGAGTGGGAGCAACGGGTGCGCGCCGGTGACGGCAAAGAATGGTGAGCACCCCATACGTCGACGTACAGTTACTCGATCTGCCCAGAAGACTGAGTGTGCTGTCGAGTGCCATTTGGACTGGATCCCATCCGCGGCCTTGAAGAGGGACTCCCGGACGTCGAAATGTGGGCGCTCCGCCAGGTTTGCCTGGGAATTGTAACCGGAGATCCGAATGTGCCGGATGTTGTATTGTTTCTCAAGGTGGGTGAGCGCTTTCACAAATGGCGTCCCATTGTCTGTCACGATCTCGACTAATGTTCCCCAGCGACACAAGATGTCCTGGAAGATCCACGTTGCAATCGCCACCGCGTTTTCTTGTCGAAGCATGCGCCATTCGGGGTAGTGGGTCAACGAACAACGCCCTTGGACAACGTACTTGAAGCCTCCGCTGGTTGGTAAGTGCATCGTATCCATGTACATTTTCGCGAAGATTGGTGCTGGGGTTGCAACTACAGGCGGTATGTGGATCCTGCGCGTTTGCCGTTGCTGACACAGATCACAGGTGCGGACGTACCACACGACGTCACTTGAGAGATGTGGCCACCAGAACCGCTCAAAGATTAGCGCACGCGTCGCAAAGAAGCCTTTGTGACCTGTTTCATCGTGTGCGGATCTCATGATGAAGATTCGACGCGTGGGGGGCACGACAAGCTTATGTCGTCCATGTGAGTCCTTCCGCCATAATGCGCCATTGCTGATGAAGAACTCCATGCAATAGCGTACAAATGTCTTGTATTCGGTGTCAGACATGTCGCGGGGACGCTGCAAGTTCCCATGCCAGGCTTGGACCAAGTCGACTCGGTGATCCGCAAGCAGGTCTGCTGGTGATCGAGGAACGTCCGTATAGGAAAGAGGGGGCGTTGGAGCGTCCATGACACTCTCCGGTCTGTCCAAGGGTGTCTCGTCAAGGAAGGTAGCCACTTGTTGCTGGGTGCCGTTCCGGTGGTACGGTGCGTTGTTGATCATATGCACAAAGCCATGTAGCTGATCAATCCAGTCGTCGAAATCATTGTCTTCTTCTGCTGTATCACCAGGCTGTGGGGGCCGCCGAGAAAGACCATCGGGGCGGTGAGAGATGCCCGGGACATGAACGAGCTCGAAATGGAAGGTGAGTATACTCAAAATCCACCTGTTGATTGCTGCGTTGGGCGCTAAATCTGGGTTCGCCAGCATTCCTTTGATGTACCGTGCGTCCACTTCAACCACAAGGTTGCGCAAACCAATTAAGTGCATCTTCCATGCTCGAAGGGCTCGAAACAAACCATACAGCTCAAGCTTGGGCTGCGAAAACCGCGATTCACGCTCGTTTAGCGTGATGGATCCAAAACGTGCGTAGAACCGTCGAGCTAGATTCTTTGGATCACACTGCGCAAGGGTCGAGCCAACGGCGATGTAGGACGTATCGACTGAGAGGATCACTGGGGCCAGGGACGTGTAGTCGAGAGGACGGAGCGCCGGTGAGTTCAGTAGGGCTGCTTTCAGATCGTCTTGAGCTCTGACCTGTTCGTTGCCAAAGGCAAATGGGACGTCTTTTCGGGTCAGCAATACGAGAGGGCTTGCCCGGCGTGCAAAATCACGGATGAACATTCGCACCACGCCAACCGTGCCAAGGAAAGCGCGGACTTCGGACAGATCACGACACGGTCCCCAACTGGCTATCTTCTCGACGCGGGAGGGGTCAGGGATGCGCCCTTCATACGTGCAGACGTGGCCGAGGACCGTGATTGTTTCGGCGCATAGAATGGCCTTGGGCCCAGAGAAGGTACCTCCGCAGTATTTCATCCGTTGTACAATCCTATTGAGCGTCTGGAAGTGCTCCCAGACAAACCGTCGAATCCCGGGATTGCTTGGGATCACCTCGTAACCGCCGCCAGGGAGCTCGTAACGGGTTGCTGGTCCACGGACTGGGGTGTCGTCGATATAGGGAATGGTGAAGTGAGGGATTTCGGGCTGAAGGATGAAGGTAACGTCGTCGTGGAAGATTGGTACCGAGTTTGACCATCCCATAGGTAAACTGGTGAGTCGCAAGGCGCCAAAAGGTGACTGGAACGTGGTGAAGTCACGGGAGGATTCATCGAGCACGCGCTCATCATATCCGACGTAGAGATCAAGGATGCCGCCACATGCGCGGCCCGCAAACTGCTCAGCAACTTGATCGGTGAGTGGTGGAACACCCGAGTGCTGAATGGTGACAGCGTTTAGCGGCTCAAGACTGTGCACAAGACGGAGGCTGCTGCCGTCCTTCTTTACCACGCAGAACCAGCGCGACCGGTATGATGAATTCGATGGTTCGTAGACGCCAGCTGCCATCTTGCGGCGTATCAGCTCACACACTTCGCTGTAGATACCTGGTGGAACGGGAATGTTGCGCTGGACCCATGGCTTGTGTGGGATCACCGGCATGACCACGGGATGGAAGAAGTCGGTACGGAATTTTCCTCGCTCAATATCTGTCCAAGCAAAGCCATCATTGTGCAGACACATGAAATGGTGCATTAATTGTCGTTCCTCGGGCCACAGGAAGTCCCCGGGATGAAGGGCATCGATGATATCGTGACGTTCGGAGGTGTAGCGGCCAGTCGGAACAAACGGAGGTGGATGGGGGTCGAGGGTAGGAAGGGCTGCAAGTGGATCACCCCGTATTTCACGGACAATTCGGAAGTGCTCAGGTAGAGTACCAAGGACGGGGCGCACTTTTTGCGCTACCGGTTTGTATCGTTTCTTGGCGAACACATCAACGTGGGAGGATGCATAAGGATTGGAAGCAGATGTGGATTGGTTATAGAGAGGGACAGACACTTGGTATTGAGTGAAGGCAGATGTTGAAGCGCCTGGAAAACGGAACGGGGGAGTTGAATCCCCCGGTAGGGACTCGGACCCCGCAGTAGATAACGGTTGTGCGTTTGAGTATGCATACTGCAATTTTTCCGAATATTGGTCCAAATTATCACAACCTGTAAGATAAAGAATATTGAGGTCAGCAGACGAATAATTATCAGGGAGTGAAACAGAAGCTTCGAGAATCAATTTTTGGGGGTCTTGTGGGTCAGGTACGATGATAAAAGCGGCCTCTCCTTGATCTGGGATCAAATCCTCGAGTGGGGAAAATCCTGGATCCGGGGACGAGAGCCACGGGGAATAGTAGCAATTGTGGTGACCTTGCCAGTGTTTGGATCTCGAATGGTGATTGTCTGGTTCTCGTCGGCATAATTTCGGATGATGCTTTCCGTCAGGACATCGAAGGGACGTCCCAGGAGGATGTCGTAAGCAGGATTTCGTACAACATGAACCTGCAAATAGAGGGTGATATCCCCGAACGCAAAGGGAACGTTCCGTGCGAGGCCAAGAGAGGGGGAGATCGATCCGTTTGCTGACTGCATTCGGAGAACAACCGTGGGATCGTAGGACAAGCCCAGCTGGTGGCAGACTGCCTCAGACATTGCGATGATTTGCGATCCGCCGTCGATGATGGATTCAACTCGGAGCTGGTTGTCAACCACGGGAATGACAGATCGAATGGCCGAAGACTCCAGGGAGACAACTAGGTCGTCAATAGACGTGCCGGAATGAACCAACGTTTCGTAATAGTCCGGAATAATGATGGCGCCAGGTGGAAGGGTTGAATTCATGTAACCAACGGGCATCGAGTCGAAAAATGCAGCGTTTCGTGCATCACTGCGCTTCTGCTCGTCCAGGGTCTCGATGTAAGCGTCTGGCGGCAGGGGATCAACGGTATATTGCTCATAAATGTTCGTCGAGACCGGCGGGGCCGCGCTTTTACCATCAGCAGCCGGAGGAACTCGACGGCTACTGGTAGCATCGCGCATGCGGGAGCGCACCTCGGGGGAAATGGACATCAACTCCTGGACTGAGTTCTCGATTTTCGTGTCCATTATGCGTCCAAATACAGCGTCGGCGTGTTTCTCGTCATAAATTGGGGCTGAGGAGCGATAGGCTGGTTCGTTTTTCTTGGCCATTGGGGCCGGAACTCGCGCGCCAAAATTGCGGTCTTGTGGTGGCGCATACGCGGCGTCTCTTGCGCGTGCATATGGATGCTCGGGCACCGCGTTGGTCGGAGAAATAGCGGGCGCAGGGGCCGGAGCTGAAACCGGGGCACGGGCCGGTGTAACGACAGCAGGGGCTGGAATACGAGCTGGGGGTGGTGTCGAGCGAATATTCTGTTCAGGAGCTTCGACAGGATCCCCAGATCGACTGCCAGCTTCGATTGCTGCACGGGCTTGTTGTCGGGTACGGACAGCCCATATTTCGCGTTCTAGCTGCTCCAAACGTTCAGAATCCGTCAGAGAAAATGTGGAAACAATGGGACTATGTTTATTGGATGAAAGAAAATTCGTTGAGACGTCCTGGTAATTCGTAGCGGCTATTTGTCCAGGGTTCTGCCGGTGCCATTCGTCGAATCGAGCGCGTAAATTGACTCCTGCGACACGGCGTGGGATGTAGGCGCCGCTAGGGAGGACAACTTGTCCTTCAATATTACGTTTGCACTTGCCCGCGCGTATGTCATCCTCAACACGTGGGCAGCGCGCAATAAAATGGCCAGATTCACTGCAATATGAGCAGTTTGAGTCACGTGGAGGCGCAGGGTATGAGGGTAACGGCGTGGTCGATGAAACGGCGGGCGCAGGGCCTAGGCGTGCAGCGTTCTGTGCCACAAGGAGCTTGAGGATTTCGCCGAGAATAGCCGAATTTGGGTCAGCTTCGGACTTGACAGTGACCGGGGACGAGGCAGCTGGAGGCGCGGTGGTCTGAAACGAAAATGAGCCCGTGGAATTAGCCAAAACAAATTCCACGGCTTCGTTCATATCACCGAGTTCATATGGGTCTTCAGGATGAACATCAGGCTTCTTGATTTGTAGCCGCTGGTGCACACGGTTCCAAAGGGAGGCAGGGGCGATTGCGGTTCGAAACGCACGGGACTGCTCAACCAGAGACAGCCGTTGCTTTAGTAAGAGGTATTTCGAAATGACCAGGAAAAGGCGGTAGAATTCGCTATATTCAGCGCGTGAGTGAATCCCAGAGCTGGCGTATTTGCCAATGAGCGCGTGGAGGTCTGAGGTAGCATATTTGCGGTCAGAATCCGTGCCAGGATAAAGCTTCAAGACTTCTGCTTTCCATGCGTCGTAGTTGTGGGGCGCCGAAAACGAGTCTAGAGACTCCCAAAGTTCAGCTTCGTCAAAAGGGAGGAACCGTAGAGCGTGGCGCTTCCGTTCTTGAGCATCCGCAATGCTGGCAAGCCCAAAATGGTATTCCAGGTCCGTGAAAAATCGAGGAAGCTCACGGGGCTTTGATGGGTCGAATTCAGGTGCTCCTCGGGCACCACGGGCGGGCATGGGCACAACAGCTGCCATGTTCTGGTTCGGAGGTGGTGGAGGCGGTGGAGGTGACGGAGAGGGTGACACGGGACGCAGAATAAAAGACGGTGATGAGGACTGCGACGAGGGCGAGGAATCGGTAAGGGAGTCGATGGTGGGCAGGTTAGAATGTGGTGAATCCGAGTTGTAGTGATGAGGGAGTTCGTGAGGAACAGGAACCAATAAGTCCTCTGAGGATGAATCGGTGTGATGCGCTGTGTCTGAGAGATTGAGAGGATTCTGGGAGATAGCCCTGAACTCTAGACGGAGATTTCGAGGTTCAGAAGGGCGGAGGGCGCGGTTAGAGCCTGAATCAATGTTGTAATTGGAACAAATCCCGCCAGGGGTTCCAAAATGACACGCCTACGGAGCGTATGAGCGCGCAGCCGTACGGGGAGAGACACGGGACTAGTCGGTGGTCGAGGGGAGTGAGCTGCGGCTCTGGCTCGCGCAGTATTTGTGTGTGGGATTCTGATCCTGAACAAGGTCAGGCTCGAGGAAATGAGCTCGACTGAAACGAGCAGGGGCCGTGGTGAGCAAAAAGGGGGGGACGGAGGACAAGTCTAGGACGGTAGGACAACGATGGGGGCGAGCGATGGGACGACGAGACGATAGAACGACAAGGGGAACCAATATGTAAGACTGTAGCACAAAATGGGAGTTTTGGGGGCGATGTTAGGGCAATAATGCAGAAGCGGGCGCCGAGAAAGCGAGATAGAAAGCACTGGGAAGTCGCTTTAGACTCTAGAGAGTGGGTGAAGAAGATTTCTTGGTCTTTCTTGTACTGTACTACAGGTTTTTTATACTAAGTGTGAATTAAATCCGAGGAGATAAATAAATTGAACCTCCTGTTGATATGGTGACCATTGAGCTCTGTGTTAATTTACTACTTAGTCAGCGCTGAATTTCGCCGAAATGAAGGTGTTAGAGCCACAAAGAGGGAATGAACTCCGAAATTTGATTTCGGCCCGACACTTGTCATCACGTGCCAGATCAATTGTGGCTGCTTTGTCAGCTCAAGCAGCTTGCTACGTCATACCATGTGACATGTGATCAATTGATTGCGGGGCCAGGGTGTATCCACGCTCGTCAGCATACAGAACATTGAGGCCGTACTCACCCGCCTCATCTCTCAACAACAACAACCCCCTGCCCCTGCCCCTGCTCCAGCTCCGGCAGCGGGTCCAGGTGTTTCTACTGGCGCCAGCCCTGCGCGCCCCCTTATCCGTCCGAATCCTCCCTTCTCCTTCGATGGGGATCGCACCCTGGGCAAGAGCTTCTTGCATTCAGTGAAGCAGTACTGGCGTCTGCTTCCTGAGGCGTTCTTCGTGAATGGGGCAGTCTCGGAAGAAAAGGTAGTCCGCTTCGCCCTGTCCTACATGTCCAAGGACTCCGCGGCCTCCTGGTCCGAGCGCATGTCCAAGCGCACCCCATTCCCGTTCCCTACTTGGGCTCTCTTCGTCACCGAGTTCAAGCTTCGATTCGTCGAGGAGAACGAGCAAGACCACGCCCTGGCGCGACTGGAGACCCATCTGTACTATATGGGCTCCCGTGATGTGTTCAAGTACACGGACGAATACGACGACCTCCTTGATCTCGCCGGCTATACCGACAATCTGGTCAAGGTGACCAAATATAGGACGGGCCTGGATCCGAAGATCAACCAGGCTATCACCACCTCTGGCAACCCTCCCAGGCTTACTGACTACGCCGAGTGGCGTGTCCGTGCGTTCCGGCAGTACAATGCGGAACAAGCTGCCAAGGCGTCTCGAGGCCACGTCCCTCCCCCCCGAGCGCCTCCTATCGTCCCTCGTCCTCGTGCCCCGGTGCTCCCTGCTGTAGCGCCGGCAATTGCTGCTCGCCCGGCGCCGGCTCCTGTTGCCCACCCCATCCCCATGGAGTTGGATCGGACTCGGCTCCGCGGTGACGTTCGCCGCACATGCTTCCGCTGCGGCAGTCCGGGCCATCTTGCCCGTGACTGCCCCACCCCAGCTGACATACGTCACGCTGATGTCCTTGATGAGGTCATCAATCAGCTGGGGAGTGATCTGCTTTCCGAGTTGGTTGCTCGGGTTGCGACCACTGCAGCCGTTGCGGATCATGCGTCCAACGTCGTAGCCAAGGAGGAGCAGGGTTTTCTCCCCAGCGACGAGTGAGTAGTACGCCCTCGTTCGCTTCACGTAATCATTTCTCCTGTTTGTATGATGAATCCAATTCCCTCCACTCTGCAACAGTCGAAGCGATAGACGTACACCCTGCTCCCCCTCTAAACCCACGAGTCCGTAAGGAGAAGTGGGAACGCAAGCTCCCTTCCTGCTATGTCGCTGCCGCCTCTCCCGGGGCCAATTCTCTCCACCTCCCCCTCGAGATCGAGTCCACCGACAACGCAGTGAAGTTATCTCTCAAAGGCCTGGTCGATTGTGGTGCCACATCCGACTTCATCGACTCGGCCTACGTCCTGGAAAATCACCTCCCCGTTCGTCGCCTCACCCAGCCTATCCCCGTTTACAACGTGGACGGCACGCCGAACGAGGCCGGTTCCATTCGCGAAGTTGCTGATGTGGTTCTCCGTTACCAGGGCCACAGTGAACGCGTGCAGCTTGCTGTCACCCGTTTAGGCAAGCAGCAGCTCATTCTAGGGTACTCCTGGCTCCGGAAGCACAACCCGGAGATCAACTGGGATACCCAGGAGGTAAAGATGAGCCGTTGCCCTTCCGGTTGCTCCACCTGCCGGGAGGAACTTCGCGAAGAACGTCGATCTGCCAGAACCGCGGCCCGGGTGCTTCGCACCATCAGACAAGGTCCGGTTCCATCCATCTGCGCTGTCGACGTTGAGGACCACGAGGACGAAGAGATGCCGGAGCTTTCGCCAGACTTGGACGATTACGACCCTGAAGATGTCGAAGAAGATGACGACTCCTTGGAAGCCGGTGACCGTATCTTTTACACCCGCTTCAACCCTTCTGAAAACATCCGAGCCACCAGCACCGTCTCTCAGCGACTCGCCGAGGCGTTTGCCAAGAACTCTGCACCTCCTCGGGATTCCATCCCCGAGTGGGCCCGCGAGTTCGAGGATGTTTTCAGCAAGGAGTCCTTCGACAACCTGCCAGAGCGACGCCCCTGGGATCACGCCATTGAACTGGTTCCCGACGCGAAGCCGACCAACTGTAAGGTCTACCCCATCTCCCCTCTCGAACAGAAGCAGCTCACAGAAGCAGCTCGACAGCTTCATCGAGGAGGGCATGGCTACTGGCAGGATTCGGCCGTCAAAATCGCCCATGGCATCTCCCGTCTTCTTCGTGAAGAAGAAAGACGGCAGCTTACGGTTTGTCCAAGATTACCGAGCACTAAACGCGATGACAGTGAAGAACCGCTACCCGCTTCCCCTGATCAATGATCTCATCAACAAGCTCAAGGGAGCTCGGTTCTTCACCAAACTCGACGTTCGCTGGGGCTTCAACAACGTGCGCATTCGTCAAGGCGACGAGTGGAAGGCAGCGTTTCAGACAAACCGCGGGCTCTTTGAGCCGTTGGTGATGTATTTCGGCCTGACCAATTCCCCCGCAACGTTCCAGACGATGATGAATGACATACTTCAGGACCTCATCCTCTCTGGCGACGTTATGGTGTACCTCGACGACATTCTCATCGCACATTCCGATATCCACCGTCACCGGGAAATTGTGAACGAAGTCCTCCGACCAATTCCCCCGCAACGTTCCAGACGATGATGAATGACATACTTCAGGACCTCATCCTCTCTGGCGACGTTATGGTGTACCTCGACGACATTCTCATCGCACATTCCGATATCCACCGTCACCGGGAAATTGTGAACGAAGTCCTCCGACGTCTCCGCGAGAACAAGCTCTACCTTCGCGCGGAGAAATGCGAGTTCGAGATGCCGTCGATCGAATACCTTGGGGTGATCATCTCCCACAACCATGTGGAGATGGACCCGGTCAAGGTCGCAGGTGTGGCGGAGTGGCCAGCTCCGGCTAACAAGAAGGAAGTGCAGCAGTTCCTCGGCTTCACTAACTTCTACCGGAGGTTCATCCGGGATTTTTCGCACGTTGCCCGTCCTCTCTTTGACCTCACCAAGAAGGACGTGGCATGGACTTGGGGCGCCAACGAGGCAGCTGCGTTTCTTGCGCTGAAGAACGCTGTTACCTCTACCCCAGTCCTGCAGCTCCCGGATGCTTCCAGGTCTTACCGCCTCGAAGCAGACAGTTCGGACTTCGCGACCGGTGCTGTCATCTCGCAGCAGTCCCCCGTGGATGACAAGTGGCATCCGGTTGCCTTCTTCTCGAAGAGTCTTAATGAGGTCCAGCGGAACTACGAAATCCACGACAAGGAGATGCTCGCCATCGTCCGCGCCTTGGAGGAATGGCGACACTTCCTCGAGGGCGCCGAGCACCCCGTTGAGATCTGGAACGACCACAAAAATCTGGAGTACTTCCGGAAGGCCCAGAATCTCAACCGTCGTCAAGCCCGCTGGTCCCTCTATCTGTCTCGCTTCGACTTCACCCTGCACCACCAACCTGGCCGCCTCATGGGCCGCCCAGATGCTCTCTCGTGCCGCCCCGACCACGGAGTCGCTTCGGACAACGCAGACGTCACACTGCTGCGTCCGGAGCTGTTCCATGTCCGGGCCTTGGAGGGTCTCACTGTCTCCGGACCCGAAGCCCCTCTTCTGCGCGACATCCGGGAAGCCCTCGCCGGTACCCCCGACCTGGAGGAGCCCATTGTGTTGGCAGCACGTGAGCTCCTCAAGGAACGCGGAGTTCGCTCTGCTCGGGCTGCGGAGTGGCGAAAAGAAGGCGGCCTGCTCTACTTCCGTGGCAAGCTGGTGGTTCCACGCAACAACGACCTCCGCCGACGCATCCTCAAGCAGCACCACGACACCCGCGTCGCAGGGCATGCCGGCCGCTTCAAGACGTTGGAGCTGATCTCTCGGAACTACTGGTGGCCCCAGTTGTCTCGACACGTCGGCCGGTATGTGGCCACCTGCGACCTGTGCTGCCGAACCAAAGCGCTCCGCCAACTCCCAATTGGGGAACTCCATCCCACGGAGGTCCCTTCGGAGCGCTGGGAAGCGGTGTCGGTGGACTTCATTGTGCATCTGCCAGACGCTCACGGGTATGATGCTATCATGGTCGTTGTTGACATGCTTGGGAAGCGCAGCCACTTTATAGGGTGCCACACCCGGCTCTCCGGTGAAGGTGCCGCCAGGCTTTTCTACAAGAACGTCTGGCGCCACCATGGGCTGCCGTCTAAGTATGTCTCTGACCGTGGCTCCCAGTTCATAGCAGAGTTCACGCAGGAGCTGTGGAAACTGGTCGGGGTCTCATCGGCAATGTCTACGGCTTGGCATCCACAGACGGACGGCCAGACCGAGCGTGTGAACCAGGAGCTCGAGCAGTTCCTCCGGATCTTCACCAGCTATAACCAGGACGACTGGGACAAGCTGCTTCCCGCTGCAGAGTTTGCCTACAACAACCATATTCACTCATCCACGCAGCAGGTCCCGTTCATGACAGATACCGGTCGACTCCCTCGTATGGGCTTCGAACCGAATGGACTATGCTCAGCTGTGAACGAGTCGGCAAACGACTTCCGCGACCGCATCGCGTCCGGAGTGGCAGAAGCCAAGTCGGCACTGGTGAAGGCAAAGGATGAGTACAAGCAGTACTACGACCGCCGGAGGGTCTCGGCTCCAGACATCAAGGTCGGAGATCGAGTCTGGCTTGACGCTTCTGACATAGCAACAACGCGCCCGTCCCTCAAACTCTCTCACCACCGATGGCTGGGTCCCTTCAAAGTCACCCAGGTTGTTAGGCGCGGCGCTTACAAGCTTGACCTCCCTCGCCGCCTCTCTGGTCTTCACCCGGTCTTCCCCGTTGTCAAGCTGCAGCTCGTTGAGGACGACCCGTTCCCGACACGCCCGGCTCGCGAGGAGCCGCCACCTGTCATGGGCCAAGGAGCTGGCGAGGAGTGGGAAGTCGAAGAGGTTCTGGATGCCAAGATGCGCTATCGGAGCATTTGGTACTTTGTTCGGTGGAAGGGCTACGATTCGTCACACGACCAATGGGTTAAGCACTCTGATATCTTCGCAGAGGACGCTATAGCGGCATTCTACCGCAAGCACCCCAACAAGCCACGCGTCATTGCCGCCGCCATCTTCGACTCCCTTCCGTTCCAGCACCCCTCTGCCACCATCCGCACGTTGCGTCGAGGCGCCGCAATCCAAGGGGGGGGTGATGTCAGGGGAACCCCCGTTTCGGACCGCTCTGCCTTCGATCAGGCATGTGATTGCGCTCGCGTGACCTGTCAGCTGTCACGCGCCGCGGCCCGGACTGCCGCGCCGAGCGCTTCTCCTTGATGGGCACATGGCCAGGTGCCCCATTGTTCCTATTGTCCCCGCTCCCATTGTTCTGTCATGGCCGTTGTACTTATTGTCCCCATTGTTCTTTGTTTGTCGCTGCGTGCTCCATTGTTCTTGAATCATATAAATAGTGGCGCCTGGCAAGGAGAATCCCCAACACGGTTTCTCTTTGGATTCTCCCTTGCCAGGTATGCCGGTCTTGTACCTAGCTACCACTATTAATCACCTTTGGATTCTCCCTTGCCAGAACTCTGAGATCGGGTCTCGAGGTTGCCTTTACAGTAACTCTCAAATCTGTGGGACCAGGATCTGCTGAAGGTGCTTCCTAGTCATTGTCATGCATCTGAGAACCAACAAGGAATAGTTCTTGCCTGCGCTGCTTGTAATATTCACGAGCAAAGGCAACTGCAGTGGGTTCTAAAGGGCTGCTTGTGGGGTAACAGAACCCGTCTGCAGCCTGAGCAAACTCCTGTGCAGAGGCCATTACAGGAGTGATGTGGCAAGGGGAGCCAGCGCCCTGTGCAGTGCGCTTGTAATTGTATATCTTGACTCCTTCAACAATCTCGAGGATTCGACTGTCTAGTTTGTCACTGCCATTCCTGGCACAGCCTACCTGAATTAGATGGTAGAAATGAAGGCCGAATGAACAAATAAGCTTGCACATACGTCACCCAAAATCTCATCCATTGTCCTCCCTGCTTGCTTGGTCTCATCAGTGTATATTTCCTGTGCCGTCTTGTTGAAATCAAAGAGGCTGAAATGATCTATGCATGCCGCAACTCCAGTGGAGCACCAGAAAAGGATTTTCCCCTGCGGTCCTAATAAAGCCCCTGACTCCTTGAGAACAAATTTGCCTCCACAAAAGTCCAGCTGCTCCAAGTCATGAGCCGATGATGATCAAGGCTGAATGATTGACCTACATGCAATGTGTTTGGCTTGGGCCAATTGGTCCCTCCTCCAACAGCCTTTGCGAGGAGCTCAAGCCATCTGGATGTGAGCTGTTTCAGACTCTCTTCCAGATTCGCCGGCAAAGATTGGAGGCTGTTCTCTCGAAAATGAGTCAATCAGAAGCAACCTGGAGACTCACTCCTTATTGCCTACACCTTGTATCTTCAGCCTACTTGTGTCAAATGAGCACAAGCCAAACTCTTTGAGCATTTTGGGGACTACACCCTTGAGACAAGGTTCCAAACAAGAGATTGCACAGTCACATACCAAAATTAGAGGCAGGACGAAATTAGTGACTATGCATGTCATGATGCCTAGAACTGTCACAATTTGGGCGTGTTTGATGGAAATCAAACAGGCATCAAAGCACAGATCAAAAATACACACAGATTTTCTTGCATCTTCTGGCCAACCGTTTTGGCCCGGAAGGGCTGGTTAGGGTTTGGTTAGGGTGCAGTTAAGTTTGGTTTGGATTGGTTAGGGTTAGAAATAACCACATCTCCCTCCCCAAATCCTAAAACACATGGCACGGCCCTGCCGGAGGCTAGTTGAAGTACTAGGGATTAGCTCTGAATGAGCAGGTTAAGTTCTGTATCAGCTTTGATTGAGAAAAAGGACTTTTTGCCAGCCAAGTGTTCAAAAACAACAAGTTTTGTGGAAATAGGCATTGCAATCAAATAGGCTTGATGTGGATGCCTAGTTACTAATCTTGTATAGACTCCCAAAATTATCGTGCTGCACAATCGTGACGACCAACTCCGGATCCAAGGCCAACATTCGAGTCGTCAGGTGGATGTAGGGGAGCGTATGGCCCCAAGCCAGCGGAAGGAGAGCTACAATGTGTCGAGAGGGCATGAGACGCTCCGCAGTGTGTGATAGCACTGAAACATACGTGCCACATCATTTTTTATAGTTCTGACTCGTTAGCGAATGACATGACCGGCAGAGACGTCAATCTACCTAAGTGACTTCTGGTTAGTCACCCCAATGAACGGGCCGTCGCTGCATGCGCCTGCGGTCCTTTTATCGCCACAATGAAGACGCGGCAAATCCGAAGATCGATGAGAATGAAGCACGAGTACAGCTTCGGGTGCTGGCGTTGGAGCACCTCAGACGCCTGATTGCGACACTTCAACATGTATTTTCAGACTTATCATCACGGAGATAGTGGCTGACCGATCGTTCGCACACGCACCCCACAAGTCACTCGGGGCATAGAATCGCGCATCGCTGAGGAGCCTCCGCGGTAAATGCTCCTTGAGTGAAACATTTGCTCTCTCAAATTTACACATAGGAGACACAATTCCGCCACAGCCTCAGCCAGGGACTGCCGCGAAACTTCGAGTTAACTCTTGTAGTTACGCGGTAGTGCGATGAATTGAAAATATCATCCCGGCGGACCCGACCTACAAACTAAGAGTTGTATGTGAAATCGGTCCCCACGTAACGGGGGTACCGATGGGTCACGTCCATCACCCACTACGACTTAGACCTCAGGGTCAAGCTCCCTCATGACAATCATACGAGACGAGATTACATACCGTGTCGCCGAAACCTAGCCTGCGAGCGCCCTAACAAATCGCGCATGAATAAGCTCTGGATGCGCTCATTTCCGACGGAAATCGGAAACTGAGTAATTCCTCCTTCTCCAAGGCCTCGCCACCAAGCCGGCATGTGTCAAACCGGTGAACATCGGCCACCAGGCCTCACGGTTATCAGATCCGCACACTTTTGGAAATTTGCAAACAGCCAGTGAGCCCAATGACTCAGTTCGCTTATGCACTGGCCGGCTTGTGGTCCGGACTCAGAGAACCCACGCACCTGATAGCCATAGATGCTGAACTTCCAGGTGGGGTAAATGTCGGCGATTGCTCAGCGCGGTTTACATCCAGGGTATCCGAGGGACTCACTCCACCAGGATATAAGACACACAGCAAACCTGGCTCAAATCAACCATCCAAAGATACGCCCATCGACATGTCCTACCCTACATTCAATTTCCACACGACCGCTGAAGACGTTGCGACGGCTTTTGCGGATTACATCAAGGGAAAGAACGGTTCGTGGTGGCATACCTTGGAAGCGTCTGCTAAGCACTGATGTCGATGCAGTTATTGTCACCGGCACCTCCATCAACGGAATAGGTTTTGAAGCTGCACGGGTGATCGCGAAATATGCGAATCTTGTTGTGATCACTGGGTACAACGAGGAGCGGTGCGTTGTAACGAGCAGGTCGGAGCGACACCTATCTGATCCGGATCACCCCTCGAAGGTTGAAACTCGCTGAGTCTGCAATCAAGAAGGAGGTACCGCAGGCTAACATTCGGATCCTCATCCTCGATCTCTCGTCCCTCGCCGCCGTGCGAGCCGCAGCAGCACAGGTCAACGCCTACAAAGAGCCAATCCACGTCCTGATCAACAATGCCGCGGCGCCGGTGGCTCCGCTGAAGCTCACCGTGGACGGACTGGAGCGTCAGATGGCTACCGACCATTTCGGGCCGTTCCTCTTCACTGCGCTCATTACGTCGAAGATTCTTGCAGCCCGGACGGAGAATTTCACGCCGCGGGTCGTATTCGTGTCGAGTATCGGGCATAGCCTGTGTCAGGGAGTTGACTTTGGAACGCTGAGGAAGCCGAACGCGGATACGTACGGGGCTTTCAATGCTTACTTCCAAGCCAAGTCTGCCAACGTATTGACGGCGGCTGAGCTCTCGCGGAGGTCCGGTGGGAAGATCAACAGCTATAGTCTGCATCCTGGAAGTGAGGCTGCGGACTTCTATATCCGAACCAATTCATCTGCTGAACACTTGAACAGCGATCCTGACAAACCTCGTTGGCAAGGAAGAGTCGCAGGAGCATCTCAAGGAACTGGGTGTCTTACTGCCCGACGGCCAACAGAACACTAAGATTGTTGAGTGGAAGACGATCCCGGAGGGCACGGCTACGACCGTGGCTGCGGCGTTCGACCCCCGCCTCGATGCGACCCCCGGAGCATACCTCGACGATTCCCAGGTCGCCAATGACAAAATCGAAGAACACTCTGCGGATCCGGTCAGTGCTCTGATGATCCTGTGCTCCCAGAAACAATTCTTATGCTCGTCTGCCAGGCTAATGCGGCCAAACTGTGGGATCTGTCAGAGGAAATTGTTGCAACAAAGTTCATCTTCGAGTAGAAAAACGGTTGTGTAGCATGGCACGAGATCCCGTCGTACCCACCTACCATTTGTGACAGTTACGAAGTTAGAACTGTGTATCTGTCGCAAAGCCGATCAGAATTAGCCGCGAGTTTCTAGTTCAATTTCAGTCTCTAGTCGGCCATTTCCCTTTCGCGGATTCCACCCCACCCCACCACTTAAGCCGACTTCCAGCCATTTCAAAAGACTGATGATGTCTCGTGAAACTCCTCATGATTACGGGCAAGCTTTGCTTCGAGAGAAATTCGGGATGGGTTGTGCAGATGCAGTCCGATGCGAAGACAAGACGACAGTGTGTCCCATGTGACTTCGACTGATCTCATCGGGAGCGTCAGCCCACCCGGGCCGCATTGGCCCGCTTCAATTGCCCACTCTCCCCAGTTGAATAATTCCAGCCTCGTAATTATAGAGACTTTCCATTCTTAGCATCCCTATCCTGCAGCGAAGTCACGGTTCGTCCGTATGATGATTCTGTCATCGAACGTGCCCTCTGGTAGAATGTTCTTATCATCCAGACCCTCGGTCTAGGCTCTGTGCGCGGAGGGTAAAACGGATTCTTGAAAGAATCTGCTGCACCGCTCATCCATACGCGCAGAGCAGATTGTCGGGAAGTGCGCCTCTCGGACGTACTAGCAGGTACTGGCTAACATCCGTGCAGTGATCCCATCACGGCACTCACCTTTCTAGAATTCTTCTGATTGCCTTGAGTCCTTTCCCCGCGCGGACATAGTGCGTGATGCAAAGCGATCGTCCCGCCCATACAGCATGGCGCCTGTTGTTCTTCGCATCGATATGTCGGCGCCCAGCAAGCTCCGCTCTTCCATGACACCTCCCAGTCAGATGCTTGTTATATCAGGTATTGCACCAGGTAGGTGTGCACCCACGATTGTCACTGCTGTATTTTCAGGTACAAGGGCTACATCGATGGGGAAGAATGGCCTGAAATTCCACTTTTGAGCGGTCGATGCTCCCGAGAGCGTCCAAGGGGTGGACTCTTTCCTGATGTGACTCAGTCGAAAGTTAGAAACCGCCCAACACTAAGTCGAAACATCTCATCAGAGAAACAGCCGATCGTTTCCAAGGAGCAGCAGACACTGAAAACGTTGCTTGATCGTCTCGGGCGCTCCTGAAATCTGTCTTTGCTGTTTGTCTTGAGTCAAAAGACCGAGCCGGGGTACTGAGCTGCCTTCATACATCCCCCATGTCGACTGGAACACTCCCAAAACGCGCAGTCCTAGATCCCCAGAATCACACTTCTGCCTCCATCCGGGCCGAAGATTCCGAATTCGAATGGATCCCTGTCAATAGGGAGCCTCTCAAACGCAGCCACTCCCCGCTATCTTATCTACGCATCCGCAAGAAGTCCAGCAGCAGCGACAGTGTCACAAAGAATGCCAAAGAAGACAAGACGACAAAAGCGCTCCGGAAAACATCGTCGACGGAATCTTTTGTCGTGTACCGACCTCACCCCGCTCCTCCGGTACCGCCGTTACCCCATGGTCCAACCTCCATTTCTCATTCGCGGGGATTTTCGGAAGTCGACACAGGCCAACGTCAGCCGAGACAGATGGCCTCGCGCAGTCGCATGAATTCCGAGAATGATGCTGCTGCTGCAGGGAGCTCAGCTATTAGTGTCATTCGTGCGTTCCTGCCCCCTTTCTTCCAACGATCCTCTATCATTTCTGCTCACCAGAGGCGACAGCTCAAAATGAATCTAGCGCCGCTCATCCAATTGCTTCACAGCAGCACGGCAGGCCACCGATTGCGTACTCACCGGATGTGCCCTGGCCACGACCCCCGCAGTCAGACGACGATCGGACGCGCGACTTCCTTCTGAACACCCAGTCGTTTCTTCCTCAGCCCTCGGCATTCTTTGCTGCTGATGTACTAGCCGCCGCAGCGTCCGACTCCAGCTCGAGCTTTGTTTTGTCCAAGGATGCACTGGGCCCGGATCCGCCACCGCCCGGGAAACAACCCCATATTCGGAATCCTCCATCAACTCAAATACACCACCACCATCTTGCCGATGGATTGGTGACTGCGCTGGAGAGCGACAAGGAGAAGATCGCTGCGAAACTCGGTGCGTCGGAGACTCAGCGTTTGCTTGTTTGTTTTGGTGCTCAACAGGTTTCCAGAGCCTCTTATAACCGTTGGAATGCAGAATATGTCCAAGGCGCAGACCGCCGTGGACGAAATGATGGCAAGTCAGTCGGTCGTTTCCCCGTCTAAACTTATGCACACGTTACTGACTTGCCGCCACAGCAGAGGCGTGGTCTGTGGTCAAGGAGAACGCGGAGACAGTGCTGGCCCCTGCCAAGGACGCTATCATGATCATGGACTCCGTGGTCAAATACGTGCCGGTTCTCACCGTCGCTGAGTCTCTGTTCTCTGTGATCGTCCATCACGAGCTCGAAAAGAAGGAGAATGACAAGAATATCGTGCGTCGTTGGCCGGCAGCACTTCTCCGCCGGCACTAAACATATCTTAAATCCAGCTTGTAGTGTATCACACCATGGTCGGTGTCCTGTCTGGACTCCAACCTCAAAATCTGATCTCTTTAGTCGCTGTTGTGGTTCACGCTGTGTGACGTGCAAAGACTCTTCCGTGCACACTACGCCAAGAGCGACCTGGAACGATTCTTCCAGGATGTGAGTGATATCCCGCATCCGAAACAAAGACTCATCAGAATCCTGCAGCTGGAGAGGACGATTCGGGAATTCGGCAACTTCAGAGAGGTGTACTACAGGCACGGTAATTTTGGTGCGAGTCCACACTCAGTCCTGCAATCGTTCCTGACACTCATCAAGCCCGGGCCGTTCGATCCGCTCAATACCGGTCCAAGCTGACGAACTTCACGTCGAGTTTCAAGGAGTACAAGGGTCGCCTGGACTCCATCCTCCTGCAGACCGCGGCGATGCAAGTCAACGACATGTCCGCTGATGTTCGGGGCGTATCTTCCAGGCTGGATGAGATGAACCGAAAGCTGGACTCGTTCGTCCGGCTACTCGGGAGGCAGACCGGTGAAGAGCGCGAGATGCAGAGGAAGATCAGGGCGGCGGGAGGGGAGAAGGTGCTCGAGGTGTGTATCCAGATGTGATCCGAGTCCCTGCGCTGCTGAATCGCCTCTCCTTCAATAGGATCCCGTGTTCTTACTTCGACTCGCGCAGGGCAGAGAGCTGCCGGCCCATGTTTCAGAGACGCTAAGAACCACGTTGGACGAAGCTTTGAAATCAAACCTGTGCGCATCCCTCCCTCCATCTACAAACCTTATCTCAGGGCACGAGTCAGCCCGGCTTTCACTATGAAAATCGATATCACGGTGAAGGAAATGACGGAAGCACTCGAGCGTTCGACCGAAAAGATCCTCAACCAGGCGCGCCAGAACCGCTTCAGGCCGAGTATGGGCTAAATTTTATACCAGCTCAACTCTGGCCCGTATCAGCTGATCCAGGATGCGGATATACGAGAAGTGTGGAAAGGTACGTGTCGTCTTCATTCACCTCTGCGCAGGCCATTCACTCTTCAATTCAGGCATGGTAAGACGCAAACTGAACCACGTCGTAGGTCTAACTAACTGAAATATGCGTCCAGAATTGGCGTATGAGCTGTAAAGCACGGAATTTTGTTGACGGTCAGCCTGATCCCAAGGCGCCGCCGATTCATCTCACCTTCTCTCAGCCGTACACAATTACTTCGGGCAGAAGTTCGGGGATCATCGACAACGTCTTGGGAAGGCCCATCCAGATCAGTGGACGCTTGATATCCTGAACCAAGTCATATGTGCGTCTAGAGACGAGTATTTGGCAAAGGCTCAGAGATTCCTTCCAGATTACTCAAACATCTCCGACGCAATTGATGATGACGGGAACGGATACATCTCGGTCCAAGAGGTCAACCGCTTCTTCAAGGCTCGACCCGACGAATTCTCTGCACCGCAGTGGCTTGCTTTGTGAGTGAGTTCTGATCTTCCTGTTGTAGAATATTCACAAATTTGAATAGCTGGGCTGTGGGATGGAACCAAAACGCAATGGAGTACGTCATTTCGCCCCTCCGCTAGCACTCGCTGACATCCTGACCAGATACAAATCCCGCTGCGTGACATTATTCGCAGGAATCGAGGCGACCGCTCGGAGGGTACACACGCACAACCGGGCGCCCGTCAAAGCATACATCAAGAACAGTGGGATTTCTGAGCTCTGGCTCCTCGTAGAGTCGCTCCAGCCCCATTCTGTCGCACGAAGTCGCCAGGAGTCTCATGTGTCGCTGGAAAGGCTGAGAGCGGATATGATGGAGAAGGAGACAAAGCTGATCGCCGGGCAGTTGGGTAAGATCCGGTATCAAATCGATAGCCCGGAGACGACCATTGCGGCTCTCGGGACACACAGGCTCGAAAGCGTGAGTCCTTTTTCTGATGATTTCATCCGGCTGAATCCATAGAAAGCACATTCTATGCCTCATCGATCTCGTTCTCACGCAACATCTCCGGGTTTTGACTGCCGCCCACACGCTGGTTCTTTCCGAGCGCGAATTCGAGATGATGGCGACGGCGCTGACGAGTATCGTCGCAGCGGTCAGTCATCGGTATCAGACGCTGATCCAAACATGGAAGCAACAGCGTCTGGACACCGAATTTCTCGTCCGGTGCTTTGCTGGCGGCGTGTTCGGAGAGTGGAATGCGGTCTTCAGAGATGTGCGTGTCCTCTCTGCTTTCTTCCGAATGAGGCGCTGAATCGACTACAGCAACCTGTTATCCGCAGTGACGACTCGAGCTCTCCTGAGGTCTCGACATCGGGCTTTCCCACGAGCAGAGCAGGGCCTATGAGCCTGGACGAAGTGCTCGTTTTCCCGCTGCCTGAGCAGCCCTTGGTATCACCTGAAAACCGGATTGAGACGCCTCCTCGTGGTTTCGCAACGGTACGTCTCGAGCAGATACTTCAGAACTCCACAACTTCAGGACGCTGACGCTGGCCAGCCAAATCACAATTTCAAACGAGGGTCCCATTACTTCGATCAGTTTGGGTTCCAGGAGGTGGCAGCGGACAAACGAGCTTCCATTCTAGAGCCTATCAGCCAGGTCTATGTGAACGTGAGTCTGTCCAAGTCTCTCGGTCCCGAATGGAGCTGAAGACGTTGTGCAAAGTCTAAAAAGCTGAAGCTCGAGGACCGTATGGCCAATCTGGAGGGAGAGCTCGCAGAAATCAAGAGCATGATTGGTGTACTTGTAAAACTGCATCAGGGATCCGCTCCCTCGACCTGATATGACATTGCCGCAAGGCATGCTGATGTGAGACACTCAAAGGCTTGAGAATAGAGCAGATGTTTCACAAGTGTTTGTTGTCTTGCTTAGGGCAAACAGAAGCTTCAGGCCTTATAGTTAAACTTATACTTCTTATACACCAACTACATAAGTACCCCAAATAATCTAAAAGCTACTTGTAAGCGTCACAATATGGTAATGATTGATCTGGAGGTTCGGGGTTGACCGAGCTGTCCGTGTAGGAGTAGGATACATGTAAACATTCCATCAAATATGTTCAAAACAATTGGATGAGCTTGGTCTGGCCCAGCCCCGTTGCTCTGAGACTTGGGCTCGGGCCTCGAATTTTGAGAGGCTGTGCCCTCCCTCAAAAGCCATTACAAGCCTGCACGACACTAGCTGCAATCAATATGGGCTAAAAGATGGTCTTGATACAGAAGCTGCCGAAGATCCGATTGCTTAGGAAATTTACAGGATTGAGAATCGATGATCTACACACAATTTCCGTTAAAATGTATTTTCGTGCAATAGCGTACCGCGCTGAGCGTTTTTGACGTGGCCGAAAAACCCCGGGTATGCCAAACAGGCGAAAAAGAGTGTACATGCGCCGAAATTAATTTCGGGACACCTTGACAACGCCTTGAAGGCACCGTCGCACATCACGAACGGAGTCATCCAAATACTCACTCGACTCGTTCCCTTGGCCCATGATTGCGACGTGATGGCAAGGTGCGGGACCGGGAGAATCTGATGTAATTGCGTGATCCCACGAGGCGCTCTGCCAGCTCTGCCGCGGCGCAAATACCACGCGCGGGAGCTTATCGAAAAAGATCAAGCATCTGCCTCGGGGCTTACTTGGCCGCGGCTGTGGTCTCGCAGGTCTTCGGTCTCCACTGCATTTACCTATGACTAAAATCGAAGCAAGGATAGCGATAGGGGATCACTTTTCTCACCAACTGGGGGACGGCGGCCTTGATTAGTCGTCCAAGCTCGAATTTACAGTCGCACTACGCGCCAAAATAACATTCGTCTCTACACAATCGAACGTTCTGGTTTCAACTCAATAATAATGTGTTGCTCCTCATTTGCGTTTCTGTCCTGTTTGTGATCGGTAATCAGAGAAACGGCAGAATCCGATAAAGTCTGATGTGAAATTTCACTAAATGCTATCACCGACTCGGAGCCGCTAATGCCCAGTCATCGAGCAGTGTTCTAAAAACTGCTGCGGTATTGAGATAATGGAAAGTTCATAAACAGCTTTCCTTCAGTGGTATGAAGTGGGTCGCCCGCGTTTTTTTCTGTACAACATGAGTACTGCAGCAGCCCCTAGTCTGTCAACCCCACCCCCGGCGTACACGCCCTCCGCAAACGCTCCGTCCTATTCCTACGCGCTGCGAGACCATGAACGCCTCCTGGCTCAATCTCCACGACGCAACCCTCGTCCCGTCGGCACTTACGTGAAAAAAGTGGCCCGCGACACGGTCTTCCTGAGCGAGCAAGATCCCAGCGCTCCAGTTCCGACCTACGGACGCGAAGGGAATGTGGTGGGCTTTGTCGAAATGCAGGACCGAGAGTGGCTGATTGCTGTCGTTTTCCAGGTACGTTCGTTGCGTCAATGGACGTCTGGATGGGGGCTGAACCCACATGAGTAGATTGAGGGCAAGGTGACTGTCGCCGAGGCAAACGGCACTGCAAAAGAACAGGAAAACGTCTTTCTGGAGCACTCTATTGATCTTTGGACTGCGCAGACGGCGAGTGCTGGGTCCTCGCCTCCCAGCCAACTCGCATTCGGGTACAATCTCCCAGCGACGTTCATGGTCAACGACACAAAGCGACCGCTTCCGCCTTCGTACAGCTCTCTCCAAACCTGCATCGTCTATACGCTTTCGGTGAGCTTCACACGCGGCCGAGCCCGCAAGTTCTTCCCCTTCGCACCCATGAACACGATCTCCATCCGCTTCGACTACCGGCCGCGCACTCGCGCCGAACAGCCCATACCCCCCTTCTCGCCAGGCTCATTTCTTCAAGACGTCAAGGTGATGCCGGAAGAATGGCGTCAACACACGCACCACATCACAGGGCGCCCCAAATCGGACGTGGCCCCTCTCGGTTTACAGGTGTACGTTCCTATGATGGGCGTCTTCGCGCTGGACGAGCGGATCCCGTTTCATATGCAGCTTGCCGGACCGGCTGCGTCACTGCGCGAGTTCTACTGTGCGGACCCGCGCAAGGAGCGGTTACTCATCGAGATCAGGGTCGTTCGACTGACATTTGTGACGACGAGCCAGGGGCCGACGCGTCAATTCCGGTCTGTGCTTGCACGAGCTGATCTGGTGAATCTCCCTCCCGGTGCCGGTGACGGCCACTCAGTGTCGGACTGTGCCAGTCTCGATTGGTCTGGGGACCTGTTCGTGAGGTCGGAAGAGGGTTCTGGCTCGTTTGATGCTGGTATAGTGAAGGTGCAGGTGAATGTCCTTGGTCTTGTCCTTTCGACGATGCGCTCACCGAAAAGTAGGATTTCCTTGTCGTTGATCTCATCCCAGTTGCTGGCCCCAAGGCCCATTTTGATCGAATCCGGCATTCCTATCCCATCCGAATCGCAACCGATCCCTATGAAGCGTAGTGTCTTCGCCGTCAGTGTCCCAATCTCGTTCACGACAAGAAATCTGAGGTGTGGATTCGTCAAAGTATTTGCGCAATTCTATCACTTTCATGGGCTTCGGGAACACAGCAAGCTTGGTCTGTTGTGTTGTTCTTTTAGCCTTGTTCTTTCTCTTACAATCTCGCTCAGGCTGCAATGTCGCGCTCGCTGAGGACATATTCGGGCATAGTGCTGCCGCCGGCAGGTGTCCGCTACTCGTCCCTGCGATAGCCCGCTCTGTGTTGATCTGCGCGTGTAAACTTTGTCGATAAACGCTTCCCCTACTTGCACGTTATAAAATTTCACTTCAGTCAATTTTCCAATAATCTTTTCACCTCTTCTCTCTACTTCCATCTTCGAGACTGCCAATGATCCAATCGTCTTAGGATCCTTGATCCACCAAATTGTTTGAGCTTCTATATCTTTCCACTCGTTTTTGGTGGTACAAGCGGAGCCGAGACAGTAATGATTGTTTACCTTCTCATGTGTGCCATACGTAAAGATACGAGGCTGGGCCACCCGGGGACAGGAGAAAGTCCTGAAATCCCACGCAATGTGTACGGCAGTGACGGGATGCGTGTGGTCCCGCGCTCCAATCTGTCTGACGATAGGCCACAGAGAGGGTTCGTCAGCCATGAGAATACACAAAACAACCCACCAAGACTCAGAAATTGTGCCGCAAGCCATTTTCTGTTGTCTATCTACCTTATTTTTCCTCTAAGTTGTCTCAACTCATTCATTATCTAGCGTCAAAGCTTGACCCCCAAACTCATTCTCATTTGTGACTGACGAGGAATTTGAGTCTTCTACACCAACTGAAAGAATTTTTTACATGATCACAGGAGCACGTTTCATGAAGCTTTGAAGTGTGAGCTCCAGCTTACTAGCTGAGATTTCTTTTCAAAAGCTTCGAAACAAAAGAGGAGAAAGATCACTTCAGCCGATAGGATCACATGACTTTTTCACGTCAAACTCTTGTAACCCTCCTGCACTCATGCACGGTACAACTTCAGAAAGGAGACATATTCACTTCACAGAATACAAATACAAAGCTCCTAATCTTTCCTACACTTGGGATCTGCTCACTCGTATCGATCAGTAGAGGAACTACGCGGAAGCTCCACCGCGCTTTCCGTGTGTGATCTCAGGGAACCATCTCGTCTCTCCGCACGTAGGCAGATCGGCGCCAGGCAGCACCGTCATCGAGTTCGCGCCGACCTTTACCTCCAGCGAGTCCAAGCGCGCATCGTCCAATGGCACCTCCTCCGCCCCGCGCGACAGCTGTACACGCCAGCTCAGCTCCTGGGCCAAGAAGGGCACGACTGCCTCGGGCTCGAAACTGGCCTGCGAGAGCACGCGTGCGAGGGCCTCATTGAGGTGCACGAAGCCCTCGATCACGAAGCCGCCGTCTGCGTGGGCCTGTGCGGTGCAGTTGGCGCAGCGCGCAGAGGACGTGTTCACGAATGCGGTGTGGGAGCCGACGTACGAGGGCGACGCGCGCCATTCGAGGGGCGATGATGGGACGGGGCCGAGGAAGATGAGGACGCAGAACGTCGATGGGAGGGCGTACTTCTGCACGTGGATACGGACGGACCAGTCGAGCATCGTCGGTGTGGAGAGCGATGGGGCTGGGTGAGCCGCGACGAGCGGTGCCGTAGTTTCGGTCTGCGTGTGCAGGGCAGCACGGATGGTGGGCGTGTGAGGTTTGGGAGATGGTGCGGCTTTGGCTTGCACTGGTGCCGCGCTGGCGACGTTTGTCGCGTCGGTGCTTTTCGCACCATTCGCTGCTGTCGCCATCTGGAAGAAAGTGGCACCGCCGTACAGCCTGTTCACAGCTCGAGATATCGCTGTCTTCACAGCCGCTGGCTTGGTCAGATCGAGCCCGTTGAACTCGGGATACGAGTAGCCGAGGGTGCTAGTCTTGGTCGTCTGAGTTGATAGCCAGTACGTGTTCTGTGTCTCCCAGAATGGAGTGAGATCTGTTTATCTGACATCAAGAACAGGAAGCCGGCCCGAAATCGACACACGTACCCGTGCTTGGTCCAATAATCGCGTTCGGTGGTATAGTCCACGTTCCGCCTTCCGCCGGCCCACGCGACACCCACACGCCGGGGTTGAGAGCCGACCACAGCGAAAGCATCCTGTCGACGTTTGCATGGTGCAAGAAGAACACCGGGTCGAAGCCTGCTACGGACGGGTCACCCATCTGACCTCCGCCGCCAACATCGTTGTGGATTCCGTCGTGAATGGCCTCGAGGCTGTTGCTAGCGCTGCCGCCATCGTCGGCCGAGTGGTTACTGAATGCGGGCCAGGTGTGGACACGAGTGAGCAGGCGGTATGTGCTGGACCGGATGTCCTCCGCGGAGGATTGCAGCTGTCTGCGATTACCGTCAGCGAGCAGAAACGTCTTCCACATGTCAGCACCTACTGGATCAGCGCTCGGACATTGGTCTTTCCCTCTCTGGTCGGGTGCCTGAGCGTGGAGTCCCACTGGCTGTACGGTTCCGGGAAGCTCGCATCAATCGGGTGGAAAGTGTATGCAAAGAGCGGGTTCGGCACCGCCCCTCGCGTTCCGTCCGGGAGGGTGATCGTTACCTGCCTGTCCTGGATGACCTGGTGCGGGAGGACCGCATTTACGGCCCAGTCCCAATATGGGGCACGGAGATTCGCAGCCGCCTGGCTCCAGCGCTCCGAATCGGCTTTGTAGCCCTTGGCGATCTCCACAGCTTTGGAGTTGAGCACTTGCTGTGTGATTGTTATGGACGGGATTACGTGTTAGGAAAAACACGGACCTCGAAGAGAGCCACGTAGGGCCGGTGCCAGGTCGGGAAGAGGGTGGATCCATGGGTGCAATACCCTCCCCACTGCAAGTCGGGCGGTGGGCTTTCCGTGCTGCCGGATTCGTTCCACTGCACGTAAGGCAGCCCGTGGATGCCGGCAATCTGGAAGAAGGAGGTCACCCCTGCTTGGTTGTCGCTGAACATGGACGCTGCGGGATGGGTGCATTAATCGGCTGCATCTGGAGACCTGGAAAGACGCACCGAGAGCTTGGATGTACAGCGAAAATTGCTCCTCGCTCTTAATGAGCTCGTTGATTTCGAGACGGTTGGGTGCATCAGCTCCCTGAGTGTTTCCACCTCTCGCTCCTGTGATGACGAAATGAGACGACATGCTTTTACGATTCCTGTTGTGTATCTTGCGTTGGTTTCCCGTCCTGCTTTTATATCTTGGGCATTGCTTTATGGCATTCCCACATACCCATAGGTAAATGAATGCGTTTCTTGAGTATGCATCTGCACCTCTACATAATGCGTTTCACCCATCCGTTCGCGTAGGTAGCTGTGCGTCACACTATACTCGAAGGGGACAGACGGGGACCTACTTGGATGCAACACTTGACACCGCCGACGCCCTTGGCGTTCCTGTCCGTCGGCGATTCACTCTCTCCATCCTCCGATCCCGGAGTACATGGGATGGGGTACGAAAGTGGGGAGCTGTCGTGGTACTCATCGAGTGTTCCGTAGATGCTGGGATCCATAATAGCGCCTGTGCTTGGAAAACATGGAAGTCTGTTCCAGGGCTTTCAGAAACTGATGCTTCACGTGTTTAAACGAAAATCTTGTACATGTCTGGAACTATAAAATCCAGTTACTCGTTGGTCACAATGGAAATGTTCATTCCCTCATTACAGCTGTATCCGCTGGAGATACACGAGATCCGACGGACTTAATGCTTGGCAGGGTACAATGAGGTGAGAATTCCGTGTGAATAATGTGACCAGGACCCCAGCAAGCTAGGACACATTCCGAACTGCTGCAGAATGAGCGGCCGGTAAGGTTGAAGTACCGGAGAATTAATCTGAATCAGGCTTCGATCTGGGCACTTTTGGATACGTCATACTCGGAAGAGATTTGAGGGTATGAAGCATCATGTGCAGACGAGAGCTGCTGTGCCTATACAGTAAATTTATAATTTGCCTGCCTAACACTCTTGTAAAACTAGGGGTCAAGTGGTGAGATGCCGGCATTCTTGGATAGGGAGTCGGGATATTTATGTGACTCCTCAGATTCTTATAATGCCTCAAGTGACCGTTTTCAATTCTATACAACGTGTAGTGAGAGGGCGCTGTATAAATAAGATCTTATCAATCCGACCTGATACGGGCTTGATTGTGACAATCTGTGACGCAGTGACTCAGAATCTCCCTCTACTTGGCGAAATTACCATGTATCACACTGCGTGGACCAAGAAGGGCTCCAGTCTACCATCTGACCGTATCAAACCAAACCCACCACCTTCGCAGAACACCAAGTCGAAGGGAAAGGCTGCTGCTCCACCTCCAGAGCCACCGAAGAGCAAGGCGGTCAAGCAACTGGAGGCACTGAGGAAAGGGCTGGTGTCCGCTGGAGCAACTCCGAAGCAAGATCCGAAAGGTGGATGTTTCTGCCAGGGTACGGCTTCTCCGCCCGACTCTAGACTCAAACTGAACTGTGCCAGCGCGAGAGCACGCGCTCTCCAAATACACCCCCATCTGCCGCCAATGCGCACTCGTCCTCTGCGAAGCGAATCTCCCATATCACGTCTGCCCAAGCCCTAGCTGCCACGCCGCGCTTCTGGATCTCACGCAAAACGCCGCCCTCATCGCCCGCCTCGATGCCCAGATTGCCGACACACTGACGCGCGAAGCACTCGCCCGCGAACGCGCGGCAGACGAGGCCCGGCGCGCAGTCGGCGCCTTCCCCACCCTCGCACCCTCCGCCGCACCCTCCGCCGCCGCACCCCAAACGCGCACGGTCCTTTCGCTGAACTCGAAGACGAAGAAGGTCAAGGTCTCGTCGTTCACGAGCACGCCTGTTTCGTCCAAGTCGCCGTCTAGGGCCGAGACGCCCGATGATGAGGTCGGGAATCGAGTCGCGCCGCCGCCGGCACAGGTCCCGTTCGCTCCGGCGTCCAGTGTCGATCCGCAGAGACCGTGGAAGAATCTAGTAAGCGAAGAGGTGCTGTATATCCCACCACCCGACCTGGGCGACGGCGATGACGGAGCTCAGACCGGAGGGGGTGGACGAAAGCGAAGAAAGCGCAAGGGTGCCACAAAAGAGAATGAGCATCAAGCTGATCAGGGTCCGTCAACAGCACGGATAGTTTGACGACACAGAATATGAGACTAGTAGGATAAACGTATGTACAAGATGATATAAGACGTCATAGCAAAGCGAAGAGATGTGGCGATACATGAGTAGCAGATACAGAGGGAGTAGGAAATGATCAAGATACAGCGAAGAACCCTGGGAGAGAGTAGAGATTGACCATTACCCATCGTCATTATCGACAAAGATACGTTCAGTGGGCGGAGACGGCGGCGAGTGAGGCAGCATCGACGAGGGCGGCAGATACGCGGTGGGTACCAGGGGAGTGGCAAGATCCATGGACATCTCGCCTTCGAAGTCTGCATCCAGCAGACGATCAAGCGTCGAGGCCTCATCCACTGGGGCTGGGGCCTACGAAACGATCAGTCGGTGGTACAACGCGAAGACTTATAGTACTGACCAAGAGCAGAGTCATATTTGGATCAATCGCACTGGTATCGTTACCCTCCTGACTCTGGATCTGCTGTGTTAGCAGGGCCCTCTCCTCGTTGAAGCCTTCTATGGCTGTGCGCAGCACCTCGATCTCATCATCCAACTCAGCATGGCGCCTTGCGTTTGATGGCATCCCTGGGGAGAAAGAAGACAGCGACGCAAGGATGTCGGGTGAAGGATGCACGATTTCCCCGCGTCGAGCAGCTTCGCTCGGCCGGATGGTCAGGTCAGGATCTAGCACCATTTCTGTAGATGAAGTTTCACGAGGACTATTCTACAAGGGGAGTTAGCAATCCACAAGAATTAGATGGGAGACGACTGCGGCACTCACGACAGGTTCGCCTGAGGAATGATCGATCTCAGCCTCAGTCCTCGGAACACCGAGACCTGATGGATTTGCTTCAGTCGATTGCACGGCGGGAAATCTCTTTCTGGCTGGAGAGCGGCTCGTGCGCGGATGTGCACTCGAGGACCCGGCGCTCGATCTAGGTCTCGTGGTGTCGCTCATCGCTATCGTAGGCCGAGGAGACATCCTTCGGACAGGATTAACCATCCTATCCGCAGATGAATCATGCAGATTGCCCTGCTGCGAGAGTAAGCGTGCGGAGGATGCCATGAGAAAACGGTCGCGCTTACGGCAGAGGGCTCGCTTTGGACGATGTCCGCTTTTGCAGCTGTCCTCTGCGCGGCAAATCCATCGATTGCTGTGCCCAGAGCAGCTATGTCATGCGTAAGCTTTGCACGAATGCTGTTCTTTCTCCGATCATGCGTCCCTGCGGCCATGGGCGGAGGTCCGGACGTTACATGATCAGTGTGGTGTGTCACAAGCGGAGCAGACAACCGTGTCGATGCGAGCTAAGTGGAATCAAGACGAGTTCTCGATGAAAGAGGTAGAACGGCTCTCACGGCAGCTTCCAATCTCGCCACTTCTTCCTCTAACACGACGTTCTCTGCGACTGTCCGCTGGTATTCTTCTGGTATGTGTTCCACCACGACACTATGTGACCCACCCTCTGCCACCCGAGCAGAAAGCCTGGCCACCTGGGCATGGAGTCGTTCGATCTTTAACCCCGCAATCCGCCGTGTTTCTTCGTGTTGAAGTCGTTCGGCAGCCAGCGCATGCCGCAGAGAAGAAATGGTAGCTGACGCATAGACCCAAAGATCCGTATCGGAAGCGAGAGCTGGGATGGGCACCGCTGTTTGGAGAGGCTCTATTTCGGTAACTTGCTTAATAGACTGCAGGCAGGCAGAAGAGGTCAACATACCGAGCACATCGGGCAGGCGCAGCCGACTCGGGGCCCATGTCAAGGCACTGAAATCATCACGAGAAAGTTCAACTAAAGGAAAGGTCAGCAGCGGAACAGTTTGGGCGCGCCTGCACGCACGCACTCTTCTCAGCCAACTCGACAACGACCTCACGCAGGTCATCCCGCTCAGCCTCTGCTGCGCGCACAGCATCCTTCAATCGCACAAGCTTGTTATTCAAACGCTCCCGAGCCTTGCGCTCGGTGGCGAGGTCTTGCTGCATGGCCTCAAGAGTGTCCAGGGCAATGGCGAGACGTTGCTGGTGCGAGGACAGTGCGTGCCTTACGCGTGAAATCTGAGGAGAGGAGACATTCTTATAAGGGTGAGAAATAAAAAGAGGGGGGTGAAAGCACACTTCTTCATCCTTTGTCGCTACCAGTCCGAGCAATTCCTTCTTCCGAGGTCGTGATGTCATATGTGAATAGACTAGTTGTTTCCAGTGGGGTGAAGTCAAGGGTACAGTGGATGCTGTTGTTTGTGAATAACATGAGCATGAAGAAGATCAGAAGATGACGGTAGGCAGAATAGCATATGCTAGAGTCCGCCGATCATAATGTGCAGAGGAAAGAGATGGGACATGCCCTCGGTCACGGTACTGTCACAGTGTTTCATGTGACAAACCGTGGCTCTGATTCACTCCTAGCTAACAAGTTCCAACACGCACTCCAGCCACACCCGTGTTCACCCGTTCACCTAAGACAAGAAATTTAGCAGCGCTATATCTCAATATTATTCTTGCACTCCACTATCTCCGAACTTTCTCACGTTTACTTGAGACATGTTTCGGAAATCCTTGTACCGCTGAGATGGAGTCGCGTCCAGGTTCGCCTACCTTCCACCTCCATGTCAAATTCTCCAACGACAAACTCGGAGACCTCCGCTCTCCCTTCACTGGGCAGCAGCTTCCCCAACTTCACTCCGATGTATGTCGCGTCGGATTGGACAGATATCGGTGAACTGACGGCTCGTAGATTGAATCCTGTACTTTTTGGTTATCTGATCGCACTACTACTCTATGGAATGGCTATAACACAAAGCTGCGAGTCCTAGCCTCCCATTCCCAAGCCCATCACTTGACCATGCACCGTGTACACCAGGTATCTACCACCTCTGTTTTCCCAACGATCGTCTCGGAGTGAAGCTAGTAGGCGGGTCACCTGAGGAACACATGAATGCACTCATCTCACAATATTGATACAGCACTTTTCATCGTGGTGGCCGTGCTGGTCAATACGGCGCTCGAGGTGTGTGTCGCTCACGACTCATTTGGTCGCGGGTTTGGAGACATCCTGGCATTCACACACTACGACGTCTACGGGCTTATCGCCATAACTCTGGTCGGTCCCATGATAGCGAGTTGCGTACATCTTTTCTACGCATGGCGCATCGTGACACTGGCGCGAAGAGCATGGCCGGTGGCGGTTCTCATCGTCGCCGTGGGTGAATAGTCCTCTGTGACTTGCTGCAGTTAAAACGGGTCTGAATCAGGCGTCTCTCGCACATTGGGGAGCAACTTTTGCAGGCGGCATCATTGCTTACCTCCGCAGTATACACCAAGTTTCTCCGCCGCTCCCCGTCCTCAAATACCAGGTTTACATCTCATTGGTCGGACAAGCGACGGCCGATATACTCATCACAGGTGCCATGGTCTTTCTGGTCAGTCAGGATCGGTCTAGTCCCGACCTATTCAATGCCTGATCCGCATGCAGCTTCGTAAACAGTCCACGAAAGTCGCTCGAACGCGGTCAACCATCAACAGCCTGATCATCCTCATCGTGGAGACCAATCTAGTATCGACTCTGTTGATTTTGACTGGTATCATCCTCTATAGGACATCGCCGGTTCGTTCTTCCGCCCTCAACTAAACTGGGTAGATTTCGCTCAATTCCCTCAGGCTATTGCACCAGCCTCATTTTCTTGGGTGCCTATAATTTTGCCGGGAATGTGAACTAGGCTTGCTCTGGTCAACGAAAGACTCTGACGGCTTTCAGCTACGCCAACACATTGTTCATGATACTGAATAATCGAGCTCTGGAGAGATCCGACACGACACGACGCAGTCTGGTCACCGATTTCATCAGTCTGCAAAGCTCAGCGGCGCGTTCACTCAGTGATGCATGACATATGTAAATACAATGCCTCTTCAGTCAGTAATCTATCCTCTCCATTATACGCGAGACGCAACAGTCACGTTCTCAGTTCTCTTTGGACGGATTCCATGTTCCTTGAAGGCTCTGATCAAATCGCGAAGAGGTATGATGACCAAAAGTATGGCTAGAATCTGCGCAAAGCGAGGGTCAAGCCCGTGCCATAGAAGCCTTACGCGTGGAGAAATGCCTACCTGGCCGAATTGCCACGCAGCCTGAGCAGTCGTCGAGGGAAAATTGAACCTGATCAAGAGTTCGATATTCAGGACGCCGACGAGCCATAACATGGAGAGCGCAATCAGTCTAATCAGCAGATTCCAATCGACTGGCAACGCATAAGGCTAAAACAAAGTGTTCGAGAATGTTTACGGCTGAGCAACAAGTCACGTACGTTTTTGTCGTCGTAGCTGGAAGGACGCCCAGGACGAGGTATCCCAACCTCCCCTGCAGTGTGCCGGGGTGGGCGGATCTTCGACTGAGACATACTGCGCGGGGGGGTCGTCATTGGATGCCGTTCTTCCGCGGACACGGGATTCTCCCCCGGCAGACGCTTGCCCGCCCGTTTCACTATCTGCGAAATGTTCGTATAGTCACGTATGATCATCCCAATAAATAAGACTGCAGAAACGCCCGTGATGATGAACGAGATGATGCGGCCGGTCTGAAGGAATGGAAACGGTCGGAACATCACGGCAGATGCCGACGTGTTGCACTGCACATTGTTCCCAAAAATAGGTGCGGTGATGAGGACGGAGAAGACAAAGGCGAGGATGATGGCGGTATGGACAAGGATGGCGGCGTTAAACACTGGCGCCTCCTTTGGCTTCTTGACGATCATCGGCCGGGAGAGGGCAAAGATGACAGCGGCAGATGACAAAAAGAACAGATAGACAGTGTTCGTCCTATAGGCCTTAAATGCACCTCTGGGGGGCTATAGGCCTTATTTAAGGTATAGGCCTATAATTATAGGCCTGCTTATAGGGCTTAAAATTTGCACGTGATCAAAAAATGTGCCCAATCAATACCAAAAAAGAGCGTCGTACAAGATTAATTAGAGCTGGAACTTGTCTGACGAGTCAATTTCAATGGCACCATCATCAGGAATCGCATCCTCCAATTCATTAGCAAGTTCCTCCATGAGCCTTTCCTCCTCCTCTGTGACACGGCACGATGGCTTGCGGAGCCGTGGCTTGGTGGTTTTGCCAAATAGGATCTTGAGTGTAAGCAGTTTCCATGGGGGAATTTGTTGAACGCTAGCAAAATCAGCGTGATGCGCCGATACTCAGGAATCGATCATACGATGCATTAATTTTAATTAATTGATCACGTGCTTGGACCTCATGTGGCCTATAGGCCTATTATAGGCCTATAAGACGCTCTCGGTGACCCTATAGGCCTTTACTATAGGCCTTAAATAGGCCTATAAGCCTATAGGCCTTAAACCTATAGGCGATCACTGCAGATAGAGCGTGACAATCGCGCTGCAGAGGCGTGAGAAAGAGATGACACGCGGAGTGTGGGACGCACTCTTGCAGGCCCATCTGCGCAGGCTCATGCATTCCCAGCCCGAGCCCAGTAAACGCTATGGCGACGTTCGTGAACATTAATGTTTCCATCGACCCCTTGACTTGATTAGGATCCTCCGAGCGCAAGACGAGGAACCCTGGAGTGCGTGAATGCTCGCTGACTGCATCTGCCAGATCATCGCACCAAGGATCAAAGTCTGCATGTAATAAGAGATCCGCACTCCTACTCCCCCGATATCCGTATTCAGCGAAATGCTTTCGAAATCACAAGACATAGAAAGTGGAAGAAGGATGAGGTGAGAGTAGAGGTGTGTAGGGTGTGTTGCTGCATCGCCCTGAAAGTCTACAAAACACGTTGCTGCACTGATGTTCTACGTTTTAATTTCTGATCCGGGAAGATTGTGCTCCGATCTCGGTCTTGCGTAGTCAACAGAGTCGTTTTCAGCTCTTAAAAGTCTAGAAGTGAAGTGATTAGCTGGGTTGAAGAATCGTTATCTTATCGGAATTTGATGAAAACTGCGCACATGGCATTCAGTTATCACGTCAGCTGGGATGATGGCACAATCACCGCGCTGTTAGTTTTCCCGAAGCCGCTGCCGACAGCGCAATAATTGTCTAAAATCGCGCTTCCGTCCTTCTTTCCTTCGTGATCGATCCTGAGGGACCCTCAAGCCCTTGAGCCTCACTTCCTCCCCCCTTCTTCTGACTGCCCATGGCCGGTGACGCCCCAGTATCCCCAGCTACGACGGAAACGACACCCCTGCTGTCTTCCAGCACAGATGCATCAGGCAAGGTCGACAGCCCCCGCCGCTCCTGGCTTCCCTCGTTCAGCCCTTATCGAAGAGTGCTGTTCGCGACGATGCTGCTCTCGATGACTTTCTGGTTTGTGCGTCGTAGCTTCTCGACTGCCGTGTAGTCAGTCACTCATTTGGCACAGACAGCCACGCCGCTGTTGTATGTCTACCGTGTATTCGCATGCGACGAGTACTACGAATCCCATCCGCCATTCGAAGGGGAGGGCGACCGGTGTGCGATTGCGGACATCGAGAGGACGGCGGCGAAGGATATTGGGCTGATGGTCTCTTTGTCCGCGGTGAGTCTCGCCTGTCTTATACCATCGGGAATCGCTCATCGTCATTTCCCCCTAATCAGTTTAGCGGGATGGCCAATCTCCTCCTGACCACCTGGCAAATTCGCCATTGGGGACTTCGTTCTGCGATCGTGCAGCAAACGTTTTGGCCCGCTTTGCGCAATCTGACGCAGATCTACAGCAGTAAGTACGTGGCTCAGAGGCGGTGGAGTGTATTGAATCTCGCTTCAGCGTTCTTGGGCGGGCGAGCGGGGATCACAATTCTGCAGACGACGCAGCTTATCACCATTCTCGGTGGCGGACAGGGCTACATGCTTTCTGCCAACTCATACATCGCGGAGCTCGTCGCCCCGGAAGAGCGCACCGCCGCGTTCGGAGTAGTACAGGGGATTATGATGCTGGGCAGCGCTCTGGGTGAGTCGTTGTTTCGGCCCGCGAGCGGTGTTCTTACCTTGACTAGCGTACATCGGGGGAGGACTAGCTTATGATGTCAACATTTCTGCGCCGTTCCAGCTGACGTTCTTTCTTCTGGTCGGCAGCACCCTGTATACTGCGATCTTTCTCCCCGATATCAGGCCCGAGACGGCCGCGTCAGAAGACAACAAGTCTGGAAAATCATGGCTCGCATTCTTGGATTCGGCTGCAGTCTTCGGACCCTGGAAGTATGAAGGTAAAACCGGCCGTTTCTGGGGAGTTACCCTGCTCGGTATCGGATCATTCGCCAGTGTGCTGGCGACGGCATATGTGGTGAGTTGACAAAACCCCTTAGCGGTTGTGTGACCGAGTCTCGCGCAGCCCTTGATGTTGCAACTGACAGCCACGAATCGGTTTGGGTTCCGGCCGATAGACAACGGATACCTGTGGGTTTTCACGCGTTTGCTCGACCCAAATTTGACGTCTCTCAGGATGTCTCTCCACTCATTCTCTCGGGCGCTATTCCTCACTTTCATTTTCCCTAAGATCATCGCATTCGGGAGAAAATGGTTCTCACCTACCCCTCCGATCCCGAGCGACCTCGAGGAAACTCCCGAAGAGAGCAGCACAAGTAAACCGCTGGCCGTTCTTCCAACGGACGCCACTACTTTCGAGCCATCCGCCGACGGATCACCCGAAACACCCGACCTAGCCGTCCCTGAAGCTACCGACATCAAACACGGGAGCGTGTTTGACTTGACGTTCCTCCGCTGGTCGATCATTCTCGATGCGTTCATGACATCGCTCGTGGCGTTCAACTCTCAGTCCTGGCACGTAATTGCGGCGGCTGGCCTGTTGCCGCTCGCGTCGGGAACTGCACCTGCTTGCAAAGGCGTGCTTCTTGATATGCTGCCTTCGTATAAGAAAGCCGACGCGCTGTCCGGCATTTCACTGATCGAGGTCAGTGGAATCGCCGCAAACTCTCCTTTATTCAATCATGACTCAACCTCTGAACAGACTGTTGCGTATATCAGTACCGCCGGGATGTTCAGCACCATCTTTGCTGTTCTTTCGGATATTGGACACCCGAACCTGGTTTTCTTTTGCAATGCCGGCTTGGCGTTGGTTGGCGGTTTGCTTTTGCTGGCTGTCAAATTCCCGAAGTGGAAGTTGGTGCATTAAAGACACCATATTTTTGATTAGATCCACCATAGGGTAGGTAGGGGATGTGTTGTTCCCATATCCCTCCCGATACAGGGCTGTTTTCTGGGTACAAATAGACTTCAAGTCCCCTCTCTGAAGGCCATTAAATCCTCCCCTCGAAGCGCTGATGGGAGTTGATAGCAGCAGCGGCAAAATCAGTACACAGCTGGACATTTGTTGCACTCTTTACATGGCCAATTGGGCATCAGCCTGGGCGATTTTATGTGCTCTGGTAGTTACTATTTGGCCTGGACAGTGTTGTAGGCTACAAAAGCCTGTATATATTGTTCTTTCTGCCACACAAAGAGCCAAACACTGTGATAGTGTATCTTGGTGTCCAATCTTTCTTTGACCTCTCACTGTTAGAATATCACATGCTAACTGTATGTGTACATTTGTTTGTGTACAAATTGAGGAGTTTGTCCCTGTCTCTGACTGCCATGTCCTTGGCCCATAACCGGTGGTGACTCCTCATGGTGGGGGCACATAGGAAACAGATTGTCCTCTGTAAGCTGCAGCTTTACTACAGGGAAGACTGGGTGAAGGCAAGAGAGCCAGCAAGGGAGATCAAGCTTGTAGGTGCCCATCCAGTGACCAGGTGACCTTGAAGGTATTGTGGAGACAGTATGAGTTGGTGCAAACTCTGAGCCAAGCCAGGGCCTTGTGGACAGGGGGAGGTTGTCACTCATCTCCTGTTGCACCTTGCTCATTCCAGATGCCTGCTACTTGATATCTCAACAATACTTAACCACTGTGCAGTAGAGCGAAAAGGGTCAGTTGTTGAACTCAATAGAAGTGTCCCAGATTCCAGTGGCAGAGATTGAGGGACAGGCATGTTGTCTGGTTGTCAGATGCATCAAGCCAAACTCAATCTCCAACCTTGATGTCTAGGGCTGGGGTCCTCTGGCAATTGCAGTACTGCTTGTACTCCTCTTTTGCCTTCATGAGCGTGGAGTTTGCTTCTGCCACACCAGAGATGTGGTTGTTCTAGCCAAACTCTGCAGCTGGAAGCAGCTCATCCCAATTGTCTTGCTTAGTATTGTTGCAGTTCAGTGCAGAACCACTTTGCACTGGTGTGCACCGTGAACTGCACTGTGGTTCAGGTTCAGGTGGCAGTGCAGTTCATGGTTCAGAAAATGTTGAATTTGCTTGCACTGCTGTGCACCAGTGTGCACCAAAGTTGAAGGTTCCAATTATTTGAGTGTTCCTGCACTGCAATTCATAGTTGAGCTTTCTGCTTCACATCAACAAAATCACCCTGACCGGATTCTGTGGTCTTTGCATAGCCACCTGATAATCATAGCCTGATAATATAACATCCAGCTTGTTCCCAGTGTCAATGTAAGGCACTGATGCAGGCAAGACAAGTCTTCACATTGCTTCAGCATTGTTTATCATCCAATAAAATCTTTTTCTATTGTCTCAGCCCTGTTTTGGATTCAGACATTACTGTGAGGCAGTCTAATGCACTTACTCAGCCAATCAATGATTGCGGCCATGCCACTCTATCTGCTCTACTCATTATAGCACAAAGTGATGGACGGTCACACATGACAACAAGATGATTCTTCTCTTTCTTTCGATGGAATCTCAGTGTCTACTGCACGACTGCTCTCAGAATTTTGTGTGGCCACCCCTTGCCTTTCACGCTGTGTCCACCCACTTGACCATCTTTGATGTATGCTTATTTATGTCACCAATGTCAAGCTTGTCCCATTCCTCCATCACCACCTTTTTGAGGCTCTCAAATGTTGTTGGGACTGGCCAGTGCTTGTGGATGCGCTTCTTGAGCTTGTGCCAGACAGGCTCTATTGGACTGAGGTCAGGGGAGCTGGATGGATGGGGGAATAAAGGGATTTTCCAGGCAGAAAACCACTGGTGCGTGCTCTTGGCCTTATGACATGATGCGCCATCCTGATGAAAGCAAACTCCAGGTCGTTTTGTACAGAAATCATGTATAGCGTTGTCCAACACTCCTTCAAGAACCTGCACCCTGTAGCGCACTGTCTGCTTTGCGTCTTGACCATCCATTTCAAGAACAACAAGGCACAGACACCAAGCAATGGCTCTGACCCCAAAGCTGAGTCTGAGGAGGGAGATGCTGATCAGTTGGGCTCCGAGTTTGAGCATACTGGGTTGATTGAGTCCAGTAAAGAGATGGATGATGGGGATTCAGATTCAGGAGATGAGGATTCAGATGCGGATGTAGAGCCCAACAATGGAATGTCAAAACAAGCTCACAAGGCAAGCTTCAAGCGCTGAGAGGCCTACCAGGACCGCTACCTTACCAAAGCTGTTAATCAACGTCACCCATTTGCCAAGCCTCCCAACAAGTGATCTGCTGCATGGGACGAGACTGCTGAGATTCTTTACACAAACAGTGTTGTGGACGGCCCTGGCTCTATCACTGACAGGACTGGGTTGGCCTGTTGGTCACAGTTCAAGGCAATCGTGAAGCACCATTGCGTAAGTGATATACAGTCTCCTCTGCTTTATTGCGCGGCCTAGCCTCTTGGTTCAGAATAATGTAACTGCATCATTGATGAGGACAGGCA